ATACGAGCTTTTGTTTACATTCTTACTCGTAAATTGGTATACTTATCTTCTATAGAGCTCTCGAGCCGTTCACTGAATAGCGCTCATTGTGATAATAAAGTAATAAATATACACGGTTTTAATGAAATCGGATGGAATTCTAAGCTCTCTACAGCTTAGTGCTTAAATTAAAATCGAATGGGATATGAGTTCGATTGAGTACACTTGGCTTGCTCCCTTAATGACTACTGGTGTTCGCGGTGGCAATTTCTAACGCTTCTTTTAAACTAACAAGGAGTGGAAAAAAAATCTTTAAAATCTTAACAATAATTGGAACGTTATGCAAGCCGACATTTGTTCAAGACGGAATTTCAGAAGCTACGTTATTTTCTCAGCACAGCTCGTACAGAGTTTGACATACTACAATATATTATTATATAAATAAATATGGCTGTTGTGAACAATTTTATTTGTAGAGATTTCGAAACGCTCCATATAAAACTTTGTATATTGTCCAAAGTAATCGCTTAGTGTTTACACAAAAAACACTCGGAATTTTTTTGCAGGATATAATTCCAAGCCTTTCGTTTACTTATCCCTTAAGTGTCCAAGGGTGGTAAGTCAGCAGCAGTAACTAGCAAATAGCTTCATATACATACATTCATACATACATGTGTGTATATGTCCTTGACATTACAACTTTACATGCTACCATAGAAACATGTTGCACATGCGGACTTATTTCTACAAGTATTTGCATGCAGCTACTTATGGTAGATACGAGAAGAGCACATACATGTGTGAATGCCAATTTGCGTGGATTTATTTTTCTTAGTTAGATTAGCATTTGTACACATATACGTACATAAAGCGTTAAATTCTTGCACACTTTAGCAAAATGAACATTTCGAGCAGCGGCCAAGTAGGAGCGAATACACTCGTATATAGGTACGTCCATATGTATAAAAAAGAGTAGCTCTTTGACTATTGTGCGTGGTGCATGAGTCCATATGTAAAAAGAGTAAAAAGTAGAGTAGTAGTAGTGCTTCTACAGAAGTTGTGCAAAGAAGAAACTTTAAGAAGCATACATCTGAACGTTGTAGCGGGAAAGGTCAGAAGTTAAATATAGGAAATTAATGACACACTTCCTCCAACAGGACAGTTAAGCTAATCTCATGCATCCCTCATATTCGTAGGCTATTAAAGAGGTGGTAAAAATTAAGCGAATTCTAAAAAATGTTTCTTATGACAAATTAAAAAGGATCTATGTATGAGCAGGAGTGCAAGTGCTGCAATTGTTGAAAAAGTGTTTATATGTATATGTTATGTACCATATGTATGTTATACTATTTTAGGAAAAAATACCGCACTTCCAAGTTTTCCATACAAGAACTTGATTTTTTGGTCAGCACCTCTGTCAGCGTTTGTTGTATGTTTGCACAGCCTCAAACTAACAGGATATTTGAGCAATAATATGAAAACAAAATAATACTTATATAAAACAACCAAGGTCGTATATCCTTATGTGAACAATGTAAAAGGGTACTCCTGAAGGTCTCCAAACTTACTTTATTTTTTATTAAACTATATATTAACATTATATACTGCCACGAAGTTTGTGATATCTAGAAAGAAATGTTGGAGAGTCAATAAAGTGTATATACTTATGTATATATTATCAGCTTGACGAGATGAGTCAATTTGGCCATGTCTTTTTGTATATCAGCGAACTAATCCCTCAGATATTGAGATATCTATATGAAATTTTGCATACGTTCTTTCTACCCCAATAAGCACTTTCTTATTTTCCGGAACAAACTGACCAAAAAATCAAGTTCTTGTATGGAAAACTTAAACCTTTTAATTGACGGGATATCTTCACGAAATTTGGCATGCGTTAATATCCAAAACAACGGTATAATCTCCGAACAAATTGTTCGGATCGTATTAATATAGCTGACATACTAACTGACCGAACAATATCAAGATAAAGATCTTTTTATACCTTTGTATGCTATAAGAAATACACGTCTGAAGGGTATTATAGCTTTGGTGAAGTTAAAGTTAACGTTGTTTCTTGTTTTTATTAAAATAAATTGTTTTGACACTAATTTCCGACCTACCCTCGTACTAACATACACATATGTACATGCAAAGTATTCTTCACGCTTAAGTGTCTGCCGCTCAGCAAAAAATAAATAAATGTATAAGAAAACTTTAAAACACAGCAAACAAAAAATGTGAACAATTGCGACAACTGAATTGCCAAAAGGGTATCACCTTGGACTAGCACTTGAAGACATATTTACGTAGCATTTACTCTTATGCTCAGCCTTATACATTATACGACAACGAATAACTAACTGTGATTACGTGAAATAGAAATAAAACAAAAAGTGATTTTTCACTCGGAAAAAGGGTGCTTTCGTGTTGACAGCAGAATTGCTGACAGTATCATCCAAAGTAAAATTAAAAAAATAAACTAGGTTTTGGGACGGAGAAAAAACAAATAAAGTGAAAATTTTATTTTTGGCAGACGTTTTTACAAAAAATGCAAATTTTGGTAAAAATTTCTCGATGTTTTTTGTTTTTTAGGTAGTTGTAATTGAACGAAACACAGTTTAGAGGAAAACGCGCTTAAAGTCTTAAGTGACTACAGTGTAACCTTGATATAGCGAATTTGAAAGGAACTAGAAAATATTCGTTATATCGAGTTATTCGTTACAGTGAGGTTTGTTATATTGAGGTTAAATTGAACTTGATTCGTTATAACAAGGTAGTTTAGGCTTACTAAAGGATTTTCGTCTGCAAACTTGATTATTTTTCGTTTCTCTGCAACACTTAAAGAACACCTTTTACGTTTTTCAGCCATTGCAACTGAATTTACTGGATCAAAGGACGAAGTTTACAATTAGTTTTTAAAAAAACTGTTTTACGGAAGATTGTAGGTAGTGATCGTAGTTGCAGCGAAAGAGGAATTGAAAATTTGAGCTTTGCATCCTCAGCTTCTTGAAAAAGTCGCAAGTAGCTGCGAGCCAATCAAAAAGCAATTAACTAAGGGGGGGATGTTTTTGACTACAGTCAAACAGCTGCCGAGAAAAGCAGTTATTCGTTATATGAAGGTTGTGGATCAAAAAATTCGTTAAGTGAAGGTCCAAAATAGTTTCGATCTATATTTTGCTGAGTCTAAAAATTCGTTATAGTGAGGTTGAAAAAAAAAATATTCGTTATACAAAGGTATATTTTACGTAAGCTCTTATGGGCAGTGCTAGGGGATTTTGAAAAATTCGTTATATATCGAGGTTCGTTATATCAAGGTTTCACTGTATATAGCTGACCTCGAACACGCAACTATTCAAAGCTGTATCGCCAAAACAATTACTGGTATTAACTTGAGAGTTTAGAACAATATTCTAGAGATGTTAAAGAATTAAATAAGACAATGATATATATATTTTTTTTTGAAGTCGTGAAACTCATGTAACCCCTTAAGTGCGGATATTATTATCTCTGAAACTAGTGAATATATTTCGGTGTTCAATAAAATTGAAAATACTTTATAATAAAGAGCGTCTGAGATATAAAATATGTGGGGATATACATATATTAAGGTAACGATTTATTCTATAAAACGTTTGGCAAACCTCCCAACATATTTCACAATCAATACTGTTTAATGTTCTTTTCCTCTTGAACACAATCCTTCTGCACTTATTTTCATAGAACTTTTAACGTAATATTTAAAAATAATGCTTGTGTGTACTAGTACTTCAGAAATCGGAAAGATTTAAAAAAAAAGTAAGGGAATTGATATCAGGACTTGGACAGGACTGCGGGCAGCTAAACTTTTTGGGTAGGTGCACATTCAGTACAATGGTGTAAAAAGATACAGTTCGATGAAACGATCACCTCAAGATTGAATGACTTTGAATATACAGGATTCCCAAAAGTTTAAACCTGAACAAAAAGTTTTTTTTTTCAATTTATCGCTCTCACTATGTGTTTTGTTGATGTTTGATATTAAGGACATCAACTTTATTCGTTGCTATCCAAGTATGAATTAGTTACTTATAAGCTAAGAACATCTTAAATAAGCTTCAGACAGAATGCAATTGTAGATGAACGTACAAGTATGTATATATGTATGTATGTCAATTAGCATACCATAAGCATAAATCGAAGTGCATATGTACGTAAGTGTAAGTAAATATTAAAAACATAGCATTACTTTCTTAAGTGTGTATATGATATGTATACTTGTATATGCATGTAAATAACATTGATTGCATTAGAAACGTAATTTAACATGCAAATTGACAAAATACTGAAAAACTATAATATATTATTATTTAACATATACAAGGGGGTTCATGACAACTTAGGTTATCGCAAAAACCGCTGATTTCAATTTTTAGCAATTACGCAGGGAGTAATTTAAATTTTAACAAGTTATTGTACATTTTACGGACGTACAACATATTTTTAAACATTTATGTAGATTGATTGTTGTTGAAGAAGTTATAAGTTCACAACGATTCGCTAGAGTGATCGGAGAGAATAAGAAAAGCATTAATAGAAACTATGAGCAAATGGGCAAGGGGTTTTTTCCTAAATCTTAACAAGTGGTGAAGTAGTATGCGTACATTTAAAGTTACAATAAATTTGTTACGTATACGCAACGTAGCACCACTAGCACACTACTCGAACGAATACTGTCATAATGTGTACATCTTTAGAATATTAAATAAAGTTATATTATTATTGGTACAAAAATCAATGAGACTCCTTGCAAAAACTGCTTTCTTGTATTAGTTGTCGCGTACTAGTAACTTGCATAAGCGATACCAGCGGACCATTGGAGTAGGCAGTGCCATAGGCATTTCACGCAAATGTATGTATATTTTTTGCAAAACGTCACACATCTGCACCAATACTTATTAGCCATGGTTAAGGCGTACGCACAAAGCACAAATCAGCCTGTGCGGGAGTTATATAAAATGCATGAGTCAGTGTAAACATACCCTGTGTAAAAAATAATATATTAAAAGATGAGAGTGATACAACGGAGTGGGAAGACATGCTTCCACATTATTTTTTCACATTCGAGATATGCGCTTAACGTCGTTTTATCGAAGCCGTTCAATTCTCCTTGAAATCAAGGCTTTGGTCACATTCTTTCTAAATTTGCGATAAAACTACGTTATTTGGTATTGTTTATACTAATGTTGTTTACAATATCGCGTGTCATGTTACATTTCACGATTTTAAGAGTACACAAATAATTTTTTGTATATTTTTAGGCGTTGTTACTACTAGTATTTAATCGTTATTTTATCACTGTATTTGTTTTTGTTTCTTTGTTTAGCTCAAGTTATTTATTTTAATATTAATATTGTTGTTATTTATTAGCACAACCCCATCGAGGCGTTTCGTTTTCGATTCGTTGCTTTTGCCGAGTAAATTCTATCCGTAGCATTTGACAATTTGCACTCGACTGAAACGGGAGTCTCTCAGCATCGTAAACATGAGTGACATTCAACCGCTCCTCTTCGTTTTGGTCAACGGTTTCCTTTGACGTCGACACTTATTGCGCTAACCTTTGGCTTCACCCGCACACGAACGTGCGAGTGTACCATGTGGGGTGGCTCAGGTTGGGTCGGCGCATGTTAGTGGTGAATTTGGATGGTGACTTTCTTTTGTTTCTATAGCTTGTGAGTACATTTTAGATATTTTGTTGATTCTGACATTCACAGCACAGAACACGTCATATTCCTATCATCCATGGTGCAATAAAATGGCGAAGTTAGCACATTTAAAAGAGTGGTCTTAGTTACCGATTCCAGAAATAAATTTATAATTAGCATTAGGATATTTTTTTCCTTTGTTACATTGGCGAAAATTTATTAGCGAAAATCACCTATTTTATCTTTAATTTATATACACATAGCCAATAAAGTCTGCGTTCACCCGACAATATTTTTTAAGTAATTCAGTTCAATGTTTCTACATGTATATCTTCTTTATATTTTTAAGTTCAAAATGCAAAAAAAAATGTATATTCCTATTTTCACTTTTGTGATAACGGGATTTTAGTGTAAGGAGAACATAGGCACCATTAAGTTTGCGTCCAGCTTTAAAATTAGTTACAAAAGTATTAAAAATGATAAAGAAAAATTAAATTCAATATTTTGTTGGATAGCCGCGTTGTTTTAAAACCTTGCTCAACCGATTTGGCATTGATCTTACCAACTTATCTGTTTCCTTAGCTGTAATCTGGGACCATTCTTCTTTTATAACACTTCGCAAAACCTCTTTACTTGTTATTGTATGCTGACGAATTCTTTTTCCCAACAGATCCCCAAAGTCTAACTATTTCCGCAGTATGCTTTGGGTTATTATCTTGTTGGAACAAAAACGTCGAAGATAATCCAAGATTCAAATCTTTGTTTCAAATTGTTTTTTAAATGTTCAAATAACCCATTGTGGATTCATTAAATTCAAGCTGGCCCACACCACCAGCCGTCATGCAACCCCACACCATAATTCCGTCACCAAAATGCAAAATTTGCTTTCATCCGAAAATATTACTTGTCTCCAGGATTCCGGCGACTTGTTTATATAATTATGAGCAAAATATTGAATTTAATTTTTCTTTATCATTTTTAATACTTTTGTAACTAATTTTAAAGCTGGACGCAAACTTATCGGTGCCTATGTTTTTCTTACACTAAAATCCTGTTATCACAAATATGAAAATAGGAATATACATATTTGTTTTTGCATTTTGAACTTAAAAATATAAAAAAGAAATACATGCAGAAAATTTGAACTGAATTACCTATTTGCATTGTATTTTTACTTCACTTAAAAAAATGTGTCGGGTGAACGCAGATTTTATTGGCTATGTGTATATAGTTGCTTACAATGCTTAAGAAACACTCACAAAGAATTTTCTAATTTACTATAAGCCTGTGTTGCAACTAACGCATTAAATTCTTACCACAAATAAATTAAGTTTTAAGTAAGAAAAAAGCTTGTGAAGCACAAAAGCACATCAAAAATTTCTTGGCAGAACCAGTTACTACTGCATTTATCATCCGAAACGGTATTTAAAGTTGTCACATTAGATTAGAACTGAGTAGGGACTTTCCACTCACTTCTCACTTTATTTATGGGTAGTTTTATGTTTGACAAAAAATTTTTTTGAAAATATCAACACTTGTAAACTATTTTTATTCAATCTTTATTTTAAAATGTTATAATAATATAATTCCGAACTACTATATGTAAGAGTAAAATTGTCATTTATATTTCTTAATAAATTATGCATAATATCAAAATATAAAATAGTCTTAAACAAAACTCAAAAGTATAAAGCAAAAAAAAAAAATGTAAACCAGAGACCGTCATCGTTATCAGTTTTTTTTTTTAATCACAAAATAATGATTATGTAATAATTCTTATGATTTTCTTCACAGATAAAATTTATGTTATGGTTTTGCACGTCCCTATGCGATCCTGTAAAACTCGCATACTTGGCGGAATTTTTGAGCTAGGACCTCAAATTCTTTTAGGAATAACTTTCAATCTTTGGATCCGGAAGGAATAAACTTCAAACATATAAACTGATGAGTTTTTTTTAGCGAAAAAAAAAATTATATGTTCATATATTACTTAAGATTTTTTTTGTTGCTCAAATATAATGATGACTTTTAGAATTACTTAGTATTAATAATTATCGGTGAAAAAAATTATAAAAATCTGAAAGTTAAAAATCATGAAATGCATAGATCGTCGAAAAAGGATTAACATGACATTATTCTTTTTGTGTTACGATTCTAAGTGCTTGATTTTTTTTTGTTTAAAACATTATTTTCGGTTCTGTTTTAAACTAATTTTGCGTAATAGGCAAAGTGATTTATTACTTTTACTGTTATTATGTATAAATGTTCGCATGTTCTATTTCCAGGCTATCGTCTCTTATTAACACGTTCAATGTATTTCGTTTTATTCAAAGCACGATTTCCCGCGTTTGGGTCCATCATACGCTTCCAGTCAGTTTGACCAACTACAAAGCCGATAGCACGCATCTTCTCCTGTGTTCGCTTCTCTTCGATATCCGCCCAACGCACCTAACCACAAAAACACATTTTTTATTTATCTTTTACTTGTTCTAAAACCAAACGACCTTACCCTTTTTTTGCCGTTTGCACTGGTTTTAGGCGGTTCCCAATCGTCCATTTGTAGGTAATCCTCCATTGTAGCGGCTTTACGCCTTTGCATTAATTTGTTTGTGCCATCCAAACGAGCTGCGTACAAATATCATATTTATTTAAAATGCAATGCAAAACACTAGAATATTCGTGAAACCATTATGATATTTATATTATATATTATATTTCTACCAAAAAACAAGTATAAAGACGTTTACTAGTATAAGCTAAGTGAGTATTTATGATTTGCAAACACTTACCAAGGTTTTCAGACGTGTTATCACTCTCCCACTTGCTCTTTAAGAATGCAAACTGTATTGAAAATATATGGTAAAAGGTGTAAAATAAAGTTGTAAACTATTTAAAAGAAATTATCCCTTACTGAACGCGCATAGCACGTTATATTGGTATTATCTTTTATTTAGGAGGTTAAAAACATTAAATTGGAAGAAATTGTCACATTGATGTTATTGTCAAAGAGTAAGTCAATGCTTTGAAATGGACGCAAACAGCAAACAGCGAAAAATGAAAAAAAAAAAATACCATATAAGCACATTTTTTATACACGGCTACTGATCGTGTTTGCATGTCCAAAATCGTAGGCAGCTTTGAAATTGCCTTAACTTACACTAGCTGCATCATCAGTCGCCTCGTTACTATCTTCAGTTTCGTTGTCAGCTTGCGACTGCGTCAAATTACTATCATCGGGCGCGCCACTATTGCTGTTATTATCCTGAAATGAAAACAACCACAAGCCATGAAATAACGCAATCCAATAATTTTTCTAAATACGTTTAGTTCGGATACCTTAAATCAATGGTTGTATATTCATCAAATCGTAGATATTGTTTTCAATGCAAGAAATATAATTGAAATATCGTAGCATTTAAGAAAATTCCCAATGTTCTAATATTTTGCATACTGTTATCCTTTATATACGTATTTACATAATATTATATTTTAACGTCGGAAAAAACAGTAGGTTTTCATGGATTATTCATAGTTAGTAACATTTGTTTTAGCCAATGTATGCATTGTGTCTGATGACCAGGACAATTTTTACATTTTTACAGCAAAGGCTTTATATGGCCATAGAACAAATATATGTAGAAGACATTTCTAAATACAATAAGAAATCGCATATATAATATGTAATTCACTTAAAACTAGTTATAAATAACTTTTTGGGCATACATTTAAACTGAGGAGATGGTTGGTTGTGCCAAAATAGAGAAATGAGGCACTGAAGGTAAATAAATCCGATGTGTTTGACTAAAATGCTGAGTGCTAAAGTTAATAAACAGAGTATACATGTTTTCATCTAATAAGTACAAGAAATTATAAAACAAAGTAATAATTTTCAAAATTCTCTAAAAACTTCTCCTTTACTGCTGTAATCACACACAAAACTATATATTAATCACTTAATCATGACATTTTACATAGGCGAGCTATTAAAATTTATGAAACAGCATGTAGCTTATTACACTTAATATAATTAAGCGTATCGTTTGTAAACTTTAAATAGCAACATTCTTTCTTTTCTAAATATATTTTCATATGTAGGAACAAACCATTATTCCCTTATTTGTGCATATTCCTAATAAAGTTTTGCAGGTCTGTAGGGGTGGACTTAATTTTAGAAGGAGTAAAAAGAATACATACCTATTTTCTTCATTTACGCAGAAATTTGTGTGGAGATGGGAAGCTAATACTTTTTTCTACGCTTTTCTTAATTAAATTTATGTTTTTCGATTAAGAAAAGTCGCAAATTAAAAGGTTCTTTTCTTAATTTCTTAAAGGTAAAGATGTTTTTAAGAAGATATAGGAAATTGTTACCATTATTTCATTGTGGGTATATATTTTACTTAAAAACATAAAATTGAGACAAATTTATAGAATAAAAAAGGGTAATGCATCCAATGCATTATTATATATTTACCATCACCATATCTTCTGCATCTTCCATTTCCACAAGATTTTCCAACAATGAAGACACATCCAATTTGATGTAATGAAGCGGTGTCTGCTTCCAATTATCAATTATACCTTTAATATCTTTCTCAGATCGTTGATGGATGTTGCGATTCATGCAGGTCTCCAAGTCGAACATCAAGTCAACTATATACGGCTATTAAAAATAGATATAAAGCCAAGCAAAGCAATATACAGTATTGATTAGCATTTCATTTCCCTAAAAGTATGTGATTTATATGCCAAAATGCTTACCATGAAACCAGAGTCTTTCGAGTGGCAATAAAACTCATTTAACGTGCGTAACGAATTGTTATTGCAGTCGATTATAATAAAATCGTATAAATTATCTGAAATTGTTTTCTTAAAAGATTTTATCAAATATTGCATGTATGTCTCCTCCATATCAGCATCGTACTCATATAGAACTTCTTTTTTCGGTATCTAAATTGTTGAAGAAAAACAATACAACAAATAGTTTCAAGAAATGTAAGCAATTATTAATTTATTAAACACATTTTAACGAAAACCGTTACAGAGTTATAATTTCGTTTATTAAAATTGCAGATGATTAATCTGCGGCTCACCTTTTTGCCGGTTTTGGGACAACGTTCTTCGTAATCGTTCTCGATTAAGAAATAATCATCGATACTCAAAATACGAGGATTAGTTCCGCCCATTTCCAACTCTTTCTCTTTGATCAACTTTGCAACATATGATTTTCCACTGCCAGGCGGTCCCCGCAATATCACACAAACCTTTTTAGGGCGTGACAGTCGACCCGGTTTAAGCAGAATCTCATCAACAGTTATGGTGTTTTTATTTTCAATACTAGGGAATGACATTTGTATATGTCCGCTTGGAAGTTTAGCTATATTCTCATTAGCTTCCGCAGTCGATGGGAATAAAGACTGAGTGGGCGCAGTGGCGTCCTGTTGTACTAAGCACACATATGGTCGATTCGTCGTTAGCATTGGTGGCGGTGGAGGAGCCGGCGACTCGCAATCGCGGTTGTTCTCCAAATTTCTACAATGTTAAATTAAATGAAAGCACAAAACGGGATAACTGTATATATGTAGAATCGAGATTTGAGCTCCAGTCATTTGCCCACGTGCATCGTTCGCATTGTGCCCATAAATTTATGGATATTGATAGTCATGTAACGAACGTTTTCAATAGCAAATAACACGGTGCGCTCTAATCTGATTCGTTATAGCGGCCGACTTACTCTTCATTGTCAGATATTTCTTCAAGCTCTTCATTAGCTCCATTTGGTGGACTTATATAAGTACTGATTGTTTCAGTTGGATTTGCAGCTGATTTTCGTGCATTCTCGCGTTCACTCTGTTAAGGATTAATCGTTTATTTTAACGAAATCTTATTCGGCACAGATTGCTCGGTAAATTAAAATATTTTGTATTTTTTGTGTGCATGTTTAATCCAAATTTGAAAATAATGCTAGTTCTACCTATTTATTACCTTGTTCTCGGTTTCACTTTGTTCTCGATGCTGTCCTGGAATGGTGGGCGTATTAGACGCTTGTATATTTTCATTTAGTGATCCAACACGACTTGGTTGATTCTTCTTCTTCTTTTTCTTATTCTTTTTCGTAGGATTGACATTCATCGGCGTATTGCCAAATCTTGTAGCTGTTGGATTTGACGCATGTCCATATTCAAAAGTTTTTGCTGGTTTAAATTCTTCCGAAAAATCAGGCATATTCCTATTGAAGTTGTTCGATAGCGAACCAGAAGCAGAACCAAAACCAGGATCAGTAGTGGTACTAGCTCCCTTATGACCGTAATCTATTACTTTCGGTTTTGGTACGGCAGTATTTTGATAATCAATTACTTGCACAGGTCGAAAGTAGTCATCTCCATAATCATGCTTATTTCCTGGGCTGTTTGATTAATTTCATATTTTGAAAATTTTAAAAATCATTAATGTAGACTTGCAACACTAGTGTAGGTTCCATATTAACTTGAAATACTTTTTTTTTACATTTTTTTCTTTATTTTATAGTATAACTTGGTAACATTTAAAACACACGAACCATACTACGAACTGACAAACGCCATTTCTGAAAGAAACTGCTTTCATATCGAAACAAAATTTCGTTATTGTTAAAATTCAACAATTTCGATTCATTGGCTGTATACTTTTTCATTACATAAAAAAAATATATACATATGTATATATGAGTAGTGAGTGAGGAAGGGTCACAGTGGAACAATAGATACTCTCGCAATTTGTAAGAATTAAAGACACGTGAAATAATTGGAGGTGGCGCCGTTAATTATGAATCGATAGCACTCAGTACTTTACCAGTTAACTCCACTATTAGCATATTAAAACATTTCAGTACCGAATTACATTATACTTGCTTAATTTTATTGAGATACAAAACTGTATGGTGAACCAGGGGGACGGAAATTATTATATTAGATATACGGGGTTAGGAGAAGGTCTGAGCTGAATTTAGCAATTTTTGAAAGAAAGACACATCGTGCTAAAAACATTCTCATTTAACTTCGTTCAGACATCAAATTATGATAAAGGTCAGATTTTAGAGATAAAAAGCAATAATGTTGTCGTTATGTTTATTAAATTTTTATTTAAATAAAATTACTAAGACAATTGCGATAATATTTAAATCTCTTACAATGGAACGAAAATATTTTTTTGAAAATTTTGTAATAATATAATATCTATTTTAAGGGGCTTGAGTTAACTATCAATTAGCAACATTGGAAAGAATCAAAAATAAACATTATAAATAAATTTATTTTGTTTATAACTTAAAGGTGCGTTGGCTAGACCTATTAGGGGAGATAGTTAAACTCCTTCCATGGAAGAAACGAGGAGAGTTGTAATGGTAGCGATTTACTTTGATGAAAAATCTTATAGAGGTTAAATTAAGTTTATATTGTTGGCAAGAAATGAAAATAACCGATTGCTCATTTAATTTGCTTTCTAACTTTTCAACGATGAAAGTTGAGGTTTACCTTTATCCTCCGGGTAGCGTAGATTATACCGAAAGCTTACGACTGGCCACGTGATATTAAAAATATTCTCGTGTTATTAGCATTAAACTTATTGCACTCTTTTTGGAAAGTATGGTGAGTCTAGCCAGGCTGGGTATGTGAAGTTCGTCTCCAACATCAAATCATTTTAATTTCAACTTGGCATGTATCATGCAATTTGTTTTTTCAACTGATAATGTGTCTTTTCAGTGTATAACAACAAAGAGCTGCACACAGCTCATTCAAGTTTAATTTAAAAAAGGTATAAATTGTCATAGTAAATAGGAATTATAAAAAATTCTAGTATATAATATAACTATTCATTATAAGATGGATGTCAACCAAAAACACCTGCCCGTATGAACGAGTTGAACTGTTGCTACGTTTACACATGAATTTGGTTCACGAATTTGAAAGCATACACCTTTCCATGAATTTGATTTTTGTGTGTAACAAAGTTGAACATCAATTCATGAATAAGTGAAACTTCATACTTCAGTGCACGAATCTGCAAACGTTAAATTTTTGAATTCGTGAATTAAAGAAATCGTGAACTCACGTACGCCTAAACGTAGTATATATTTGTATACATATACATAGATATTTATTTGTACAGAGTACCAATATATTCCCCAATGTGAGAGTAGCATCAGTGTTCCTGAATGCTAAAGTATCCAAATTACATGGTTTGAATATTTCATATAATTTTTACAAACAGAAATATACGTTACGAACTAAATAAAATATGGTTTAAACCCTTAGGTATTTTTTAATAATAATAAATTTAGATGTTTTCAATTCATTGAGAAGTATTTTTTAATCAACTGAAATATTTTAACTCGGCTTCGGCCGATCGTCGGTTCGGATCCCCATAAAAAATAGCGTACGGTCGTTTACTCCTTATTACATAAAATTTGTGTGTTTCCATTTAGTAGTTGTTAAATTTCCTGAACAAATCAAGACGACCAGAAACGAGTTATAGATCGTGTATAAAACAGGGGAACAAAAACCAGATTTTAAATTACAATCCTCTCTCAAACGTTCCTATAGTTATTCTGTACAAATTCTTTTAAGATCTGATGTCAAGTGGTTAAGCACTACAATTTTCATTAAAAACTTCTTTATTGGTGTGAATAATTAGTAATCAATATGTTCGTTTCACGTTCAAGTATTTAACAAGTAAGAATTTTTGTAATCTCTATTTAATCCATTTTTTTAAATTTTTTTCTCGGGTAACATTAATGGAGGATTAACGGACCTAACTTTACTGGGTAATTATATCATATTTATTCAAGGCTTTTTAAATATGGGCGACATGTTTTTCCATAAATTTTAAATGAGCGCATCACTAATTTGCTCGCGAGTTTAAAAAACCATAATGTAAATTCCTCAAACAATTTGTATACAGTCTTAGTTAATCTGATTCGAATATTACTTATTTATATTATTTTATATTTCTCTCTGACTTAGAATTTCAATCAGTAGGGATATGAAATTAAATTAGTACATAAATTAATACCAAGAGTTAAAATAGCAATGCCTTTATCATGAATTCCCTGTGAACAATTGTTCACATTATTTACAATGCAAAGCTTTAAAATTCGAAAAGAAATTCACGGTAAACTAACAATGCTTTAAGGGCTTAGTATTTATTTATGACCTTTATTTTATTAGGTCATTTGGCAAAAAGGACGTCAGTCTTGTAAACCAAGTTCAATTGATATATAGGTGATAGATAGGAACTGCAATTTAGTTAGCCCCTTGACATTATGCATTGCAACCATTGGTTCTTTAAGAGGTTATATCCAAAAAATCGATTTTTCTAGTTTCGGATATACATATGAGTATATTTTTAGGAATTTTTTAATTAGGTGTTACAGCTTCCAAAACTTTAAGTGTGTTTTTCTCGAAAAGCTGTTTTCAGAGTCGGTGAGGAAAATTTCACCCAAACGATCATTACCTGTACTTAACTATTGTAGTAATTTTTACTTTATTTTTTTGGATTTTAAATCATTTTAAGCAATAAAATCTTCCTCAGATAAAGCGAATTCAAAGTTTTCAAAATGAATGTTCATAATGTACATTAAAGTCTGTAAATGTACATTTTTTATTATATTAGAATTTCCAAAAAAAAAAAAAAACGGGTTTTACTGACGTTCAAGTGGATATAACCCCTTAAGATTTTCCCCAACAAAAAGAGTGCCGTGGCAGCATCCCTTCCCTTACTAACCCTCTTCAGAGTTAATTATAAATAAATAAAAGCATTTGGGTTGATAAAATGTTTACTTTTATTCCATACCTTTTAATTAGGTATTAAATATTTATGAAGATACGGTTTATAATCATTTAAAATAATTAATAATTAATAGCATTGAGTTTGTGTGACAGTTGTTTGAAACAAATGAATTTCAGCATCGCCAACTTCGCGACATACTCGGTAGGCACAAGTTGTCCTGTTTCAATAAACAATAACAAAATGTATCTTAACCGACACATCCATCGAAGTTGTAAATTGATTAGATAATTCAATACATTTCAGCAACTTTGGTGCTTTACAAGTCAAAAACCAAATATTGTTCAATTAGCATTCTGAAACATTATAATTCGTAATTTAGTAATATGTAGTGTATTAATTGTTGTTTGTGTTTACTGTTTTATTCCCGCATTAAAATTGAACTAATTTTGTCGACAACTTAAATCTACTTGACAACAACTAGTCTCGACAGGTTTAGTGTGTAGATTATCTGCTCTAATTGCGGTCGCCAGACTTGGAACTCCTCTGCCTTTTATTAAAAAATGGCTTCTTATTAACACCGCTAATTGTATTTGGAATAGTGGATTATTTTGTTAAATGGACCCACGATTCGGTTATGTTTGTTACGTTACATGTAATGCGTATTTGTCAAGGGGACAATGAAAAGAGAAGGAATGGAATAGAAATTCCAGCATTAACAGTTTTTCAATGTGGTTATACACTATTTTACTACAATTAAAAAGTGTACTGGCGTTCTAACACAGATTTGTGAGACCGAAGAGGACGTTGCTCTCAAGGACAACGATCATTGTAAGTATACGGGGAATGACAAGATGCATACATACACAAATACATACATACATTTCTAGATTCGTTCAAAATATTACGAAAAAAGATTAAAATAATTCAAAGCTTTCGTATTTAAATTTCAAATTTAAAAATTCTACTATGAAGGTACGTATGCAGGTATGTATGAATGCACATAAGTTTTGTGAGCATTGCAGTTGGGTATTATATTAAAGAGACATTTTTTTTAAATTTTATATTTTCAAATAAGCTACTTATGCATGATTCATCTGTTGTATAATATATGTACGAGTACATGTGAATCATAATAAGCATATAACATTTAATACACCTCAATTGCAATGACAAAATTAATAGAGAACGCTTTAAAATCTACACCTTATTACATATGAGTGATATTTCTATTAATTTTTGGAATTTTTTAAAATAAATCACTTCCACTATACGAAATATGTATCAATAAACAGACTTTCTACGTTCAAGTACAATTACTTCAGATGTTTATAATGATAGTAAGGACTTTCTAGTCCGGTTTCTCATAAAGTCATTAAATGTAATGTGTGAGAGAAAATAATCTCAATAAAGGTTAAGGGCAAACATAAGGAGTACAATCGGTCAGAAAACTTAAAATTTTAGTTTAGTTTGAAAAATTACAATCTCGCCTCAAAATGACTTTAATAATTTCCTTCAATATAGAAAATTAATACATATTAATAGTTATGCATTATAAATCGGAAATCAGTTTTTACTCAATGATTTGATATAAAAATGGAGGTGCTCTATGTATTTTATAGCATTTTAGTAGTAGTACCTTTTTACTAAAAAAAAAGATTCATCAAATTCACATGTCAACTTCTTTCAAAAACTTTACAAAGGTAGGGTAAATAATCGAGTAACTAAAGAGATATATACGCGCTTCCAAAAACTGAGTTTACATTTGTTGAAATAGTGGGCCTTATGAGATGGCTTTTAAAATATTTATCTCTTTCGGATCTCACACCTCTTTTAAATGTTTATGAGAATTTAATCAATATGGAAAAACAATTTTAAATTTTAAACATACCAATCAACCCATGAGGTTTCACTCTCTGTAGCTTCTTCGCTTTGTCTGCCTTTGTCATCAGGGCCACCGCCACGACGGGATGAATTCTGGTTTCGGCGTTCTTCCATGTCCTTATTATTTCTACCAAAATTGCGTCGGTCATCGTTCGATGCATTCCTACCGAATTTCGAACTATTGCCACCACCACCATAATTTGGACCATTGCCACCTCTGAAATTAGGACCATCACCTCGAAAATTCGGTCCATTACCACCGCCGAAATTTTGACCGTCATTTCGGAAGTTCGGTCCATAACCACCACCGAAATTTGGGCCATCATCGCGGAAATTCGGTTCATTGCCACAAACGTAATTTGATCCACCTTGACCAAATCTATTGAAATTGGGACCGTTTCTATTGTAATTTGGTCGATTCGGACCATTTCCACAATTAGGTCCTTCAAAATCAAAATTACCTCCCATTCCTCCGAAAATCGGACCATTATCATTAAAGTTTGGACCGTTTCTACCAAAGTTCAGTCGATTACCACCAAAATTTGGACCCCCAAAATGGGGGCCGTTTCCTCGAAAATTCTGGTTGTTTCCCCCGAACTCTGGATCGTATCCGCGAAAATTGCCCCCAATTCCACCATAATTCGATGCAAAGTTTGAGCTGTTCCCGACGGGGCTATTTATGTTAGATTTGTTTTGTTGTAATTGCTGCAGCAACATAGGTAATTGCTGAAGAAACTGTGGGGGCGGTGCACAGCTCGGATCTGCACTTTCCCTGCCCTGAGCTTTGGCCAAAGCCTGAGAAATTTTCTGCATAAAAATAGGGTCCCTTAGAGCATCGCCCAAATTAGGAATGGCATTAGAAATATGAGGATGTATTTGCTGCTCATCGACATTAATATTATCTTCGTCGTCATCGCGAACAGATGAAGGCGCGGGAAAATCTGACGGCTTTTCAACAACCACATCAAATAGTGAAGGTATTTTGTTGATAACCTTTGGTTTTTCTGGCTGCTCTTGTTCCGAATTTTCTTCAGTCGGCTCATTTTCAGTGCTCTCCTGTTCGGTTCTTATTGGGTTTTTATCTTCGGTAGTACCACCAGCACCATCATTACCTTCTACCAAATCCAATCCAGGAATTCCCTCCGATTTGCCAAATATATTACAAATAGCTCCGGAGGAATCGGCAGTGTTATTATCTTCCTCTTCCACAAGAGAAATAATTTCAGTTACAACAGCATTTGTTAGTTTTGGCGTTTTAGGACCTTCTGCGGGTGCACTGAAGCGACTCTTTCGCTTGCCTAAGATACCAGTAGAACCACTCGTTCTTTTCTCTACTTTAGATAAATCATTATTTTTCGAAGTATCATTACTGCTTTGCAAAAATGTTGTCGCGCTTTTTTCAACTTGTTCTGTTGGCTTTTCATCGCCTAATTGTTCGGTTTCTAGATTTCCCTGTTCGCCGGATTTTTCAAGAGTTTCAATTTCTTCATTTAGTTGGCTTATTTGCTCATTGCCCGAAATAGGTTGGTTTGAATTTTCTTCTTCTTCCTCTTCTTTATCCTGATCATTACTAACGTCACGGTCTTCGTCTTTAGGGCTCTCATCAGCTTTGCTTTCTGCATTCCGTTCATTAGTCAAGCCGTCATCACCATCTTGAGCTTCCTTATCCCCTGTATCAGGCTTTTTGTCCATTTGTTGTAATTTCCTTAGCCGCATTTGTTCACGCCGCTCCATTATTCGTTGACGTTGCTTTTCGAATTCCTGCTCGTAACGGCGATACATCTCACGGTCGGGATGATTAGCATTCGCAAGCTTCCATTGCTCGAATTGTTGCTCCCATCGTTGGAATTGGAGATCAAAACTCTTTTCGTCCAAATCAGATCGAGGTTGTTTTTGCTCGGTTGTCAAAAGGTCTGCTTCTGATTCACAATTGCTCTGATTCTGACTATTTCGCTCATTTTGAATATTCTCTTCAGGGTTGGAGTTTCTATTGAAATTACTATTTGAACCGAAATTTCGATCATTAGAATTTGATCTACGATTTAAATTGTTCTGTCCAAAGTTTCGTTCATTTGAATTCGATCGTCTATCATAATTATTTGGACCAAATTTTTTTTCATTCGAAACGGGTACATGATCAAAGCTGTCATTTGGACGGTTATTACGACCATTTCCACTATTTGAAGAATTGAATTTGTTGTTCAGTCCAAAGCTATCTCCATAGTCTCCTTGTCCGGGATTTCGATCATTTAAACGAGATCTCGATGAAAAAGGATTGTTCGGACCAATATTTTTATTAATGTTGTCTGGTCCCATATTAAAGTTATTACGTGGACTAATGTTGAATTCGGTCCTATCTAAGAAACTGTTGAAATTGTTTCTATTTGAGAAGTTGCGGTCGTTTGAATTAGACCTTATGTTATAATTTTTATCCTGGGCATAATCTTCGGAATTTTCATTGAAAGTATTATTCGAATCATTGTTTCTACTATTATTATCAAATCGTTGCCCATAAAATGGACCATTGTCCCCAGGTTGTTGTTTGAAATTACCACCAAAGTTCCGTCCATTTTGACCAAATCTTTGATTGATATTGTTATTTCGGCTTTGCATACTGTTGTTTCCAGCAAAATTCCTTTCGTTTCCATCCTGTTCGTTGTTGAAATAGTTGTTGTTTCTTTGATTTCTATCATTGTTGCCAAATTGGTCACTTCTATTACCCTGACGATTTCCACTCTGATCATTATTTTCATATTGATAACGATGGTTACTAAAATTATCATTATTTCTGTGGTTATTATTGTTAAATGGTCCTTGGAAATTATGGCCACTGGCAGTTTGATTACGGTTAACATTCCATTGAGTAGAACCTTGACCTTCTTGACGAGTCTTAGAAACATTTTCCATGTGATCTTCATTGTTATTTCCACTTATATTATCATTTTCACTTTTCCAACGATTATTTGCATTTCTATTTATGTTATCGAATCCGTCTTGACTGTTTCGGTGCTCAAATGGAGCATTCATATTATTAACATTTGCAAACTCAAATTCATTTAAATTATTTCGATCTTCATTTCTTGCATCCCAGTTGTTTTGACCTCTTTCTTTAGAGATGAACTGGTTTCCCGACCTAGTACTACCAAAATTTGTATCAAAGTTATTTTTATTTTGACTCCATTGAATTTTGGGTGCATCTTGATTTTGGTTAATTTCAGTACCTTGCTGATTGGAATTAGACATCCATGAATTTGCAGCTCTAAACTCATTTCGATCAATAGATGATTGATTTACATTATTATTATTGTAGGAATTACCGCCACGGAGTTGGTTTGAGTTACCATAAGTAGGCATACCAAGCTGTTGTTTCTGTGTAACTTGTGGTATATTAGGCATTGGTTGAGGTTGAGAATTCTGTTGTGGCTTTGCTACCATTGGAGGCGGTTGTTGAAAATTTGGAATTTGGGCGAAATTAGGTGGTTGCTGATTAAAGCCTGGAGGTGGTTGATTATAATTGAATTGTTGTTGCGGTTGCTGATACGAAGATGTCCATTGAGGATAATTCATATTTGGGAAGGGTACTACTGGAGGAGGTTGATTTATTGGAGCAGAACCTTGGTTAAGAGGCAAAACTTGACTCTGGGAGGAATGCGGCTGAATTGACACAGGTGGTGGTTGCGTATAGAGTTGAGGTGTTCCAGAAATTTTAATATTTGTTTGTTGTCCATCAGAGGGAGGTGGAGGTGGCGGCTGTTGTATCGACTGTATCTGCAAAGGCTGTGTTGGAACTTGTGTTTGGGGTTGAACCTGTTGGTAGTAGTTATTATAATTCGTACTTTGCCCAGTTGAAGCTGCAGCGGCCATTTCTCGTTTATACTAGTTGCAAAATGTAAAATATTTTACAGCATAACTTACAATATAAATTATTTTCCATATTACCTGTTCACCATACTGGGCGTGCCACTTTGCATATTCTTGTTGATAAGCTTGCCACTGCTGCCAGTGTTGTTGTAAAGCATATTGCTGCTCTGGAGTTAATGCAGCATACTGAGCTTCAGTATACTGCCCGTAAGGTCCACTTGGAGTTGCTGTTGGCACAGTAGCGCTTGTAGTAGAAACACTACTAGGTAACATTGGTCCTATAATTGGTGCTGTGTTCCCAGTTGCTTGTTCCGTTGGAGTAGGAGGAGGCGCTGTTGTTGGAGGCGGCGGTGCAGCGGAAGGTGGTGGAGGTTGAGGTGGCGGGCATTGTGGTGCCGGTATTGGCGGAATTGTAACACCAGCGCCGATTCCAGCCCATTGATTCCACATATCGTTTAATACAATTATGTCCACTTAACTAGATATTTATATCATTCAAACCAGAAAGTTGTCTGAATTTTTTTTCTCACTTTTATATTTTATTGTTTTATCGTTTTACAATGTTATATTTTTCATTGGAATCATAAACTCATTGCTTCACACTTTTTGGTAAAACTAATTAGTAAATGCGGCCAAAAACAATAATTATCAATTATTTTGTTGAATAGTCGCCATTTTTACTTCACGAAAAAACTAAATATGGAAAAATCACGATAAATTTGGTTCTTATATATATTAAAAATCGACTTTTTCTTATCGATTTTAAAGATGTAATCACAATAAAAACTAACACGCAGATTATTTGTTCAAAATTTGATTTAAAATACTCATTCATAAATGATGAGCCATGAAAAAATAGGTAAATAAGGTACAACAACAACCACAACTAAGTGACTTGAATATGTGATATGTACAAAGTTAACACACTAAATTTAAATTTTGTAAAATACACATAAATTATTGAAAAAATTCACTTTCCGCTCACGGATTTGTAATCTACGAGTAAAAATAAGACGATTTAAAAAAAAAAATTTAATTTGGGACATAAACTATACATTTATTCAAAAACATGTAACATCTTTATGAATGATAAATTGACAAATCCCATTGTAATATGTTGAAATATTTTAAGATGCGGAAAATTACATAAAAAATTTATTAAATTGTTATTAATAATCTAAGGTGGCAACATTTATGTTTCCACGTGTAGAGAAAAAGATAAATGAAATTAAGAATATACAATGGCCGAAACGAAAGAAATGATTGAATATTTGGTTGCTGATACTACAGCTTTTATTAATGCAGTTCAGCTAAATGTAAGTATAAATTGACTATTGTGTGCTAGTTTAAACGTGTGAATACTTCTACAGGATTATGCTAGAAATGTTTTAACCGTCCCAGATGTCATTCAAGAGGTCCGTAATAAACGTCAAATCCGTCGGCTTTGTGTGTTACCGTTTGATTTACAAGTACGAGAACCTCGCACTGATAGTATAAAACATTGTGTAGAATTCGCAAAAAAGACTGGTGACTATGCCAGTCTGTCTGGTATCGACATTAAGGTGATTTCGTTAACTTATGAACTAGAAGTTGATAACGTTGGTTCTGCACATTTGCGTACGGAACCTGTTATATCAAAAACAATAGCATCTAAGGAAATGCCTGAAGAATTCCAAGAGAATGCTAAACTGGCAGGCTGGTATAATCCGGAAGGTGAAGACGAATCAAGTGGTGACGACACTAATGAAGATGAATATTCTGAATCTGTTAATCGTGCCAACGACAAAGAAGATTCCGTTAAAAGTTCGATAGAATATCAAATAAATGATGTGAACGGAAACCAGGACATTAATGATGAAATAACACAAGAAGAACTAGATAAATTCTTTGAAAAGCTAAATTGTAATGTTGATGATAATGAAGTCTACGATTTGCTTGTACCAAAAAGCGAGGATTCACTAGATCCCCAAATTGCTAGCGACGGTGAATCTAAATCCATTGATGAATATGACAATACCCCCACTCAGCACTCAGAACAGAAAATAGATGAGAATGGTGGCATTGAAGGTGGTTGGATTACACCATCTAATATTAAAAAGGTGAAAAAATCCTTAGAAGGCAAAGTGAAATCTGATGTTGTTCCTGTTGTCGCATGTATGTCGACAGATTATGCACTTCAAAATGTTTTAAAACAAATAAATTTGCAAATTTGTGCGCTTGATGGACGTGTAATTAAACATTTACGCACCTATATTTTACGATGCTATGCCTGTTTTAAAACAACAAGTATAATGACAAAAGTGTTTTGTCCAAACTGTGGCAATAAAACCTTGAAACGAGTAGCTGTTAGTCTGGATGAAAACGGAAAGCAAGTGGTACGTATTTTCAATTCAATTGGTTTATTTTGGAACTCTAGCTATCAAACCTTTAAATGATGAAAATATATTGTTTATTTTTTTTTAGATTCACATAAATACACGCCGTTCCCTAACAGCTAAATATAAGAACCAAAGCTTACCAAGATTTCAAGGAGGAAAACATTCCCGTAACCCAATATTATTTGAGGACCAGCCCATACCGAGGCAGATGCCGTCACGTGTAGCAAAGACCAAAACGAATGCTTTAGATGAAGATTACATTGCCGGTTTTTCGCCTTTCGTTATGCGTGATGTAGATTCAAAATCGGCTATGCTGCGTTCTAAAGGCAACCTTAAGGAGTGGGCTAGGAATAATACATTTGAAGAAGATCGGCGTAGAAAACATTACAATAGGGTTTATAAATAAATTTGATAGTTAATATATAATTTTTTTTATTTTTATTTTGTTTGATAACGGGTTATTCTACAATTTTAAACAAATATCACAATCGGGATACTCTGGTAAGTTAAGTTGAAACTTTTCTTGGAGCATGGGTGGTACAAAACGACCACCTAAATAATGGTATTTCCCTTTAAACGATTTAGCGCATAGTTTAGGAGCTGTAAGGGATATTAACATATCGGGTTCGAAATCTTTTTCTCTTATTTTTCCTTTTTCTACATCCCATCCGCTTGGTATATCAATGCTATTTAAAACAAATCGTTAATATCGGTCTTCAAATAAATATTTCCATGACTCACCTTGCTATAGGGATTTTGGTATTTAATAGGATCTCCATAATAGGAACGAATGTTTCTCGCACAGGTGGTTTGAAGCTGAAGCCAAATAGTGCATCAACAATTAAATCGTAGCATTCATTTGTACTTTCAAGAGTGGGATTTGAATGTAGAAATGATATTCTATTGCTCTTGCACTGGTGGTTTAGATTTTCATATAGTTGTTTTGAAGTGGGTTTGGGATAGTAAATTATTGGCTCGTATTTCATAAAAGATAAGTGTCGGGCACAAACTAATCCATCTCCACCATTGTTTCCAGGTCCACAGCACACCAACACTCGCTTGTAGCAATCAGCAGGGTAACATTTGGCTATAGCATGGGCACAACTCAACCCAGCCAATTCCATAAGTTGATCCACACTATATTTGTATTCGTTGAATAGTTCCTCATCAATTTTGATTGCCTCAGTTTGTGTTAAGAATTTCATGTTAAGAGAGTATTTGCTAAAGAAAATCCAATGGGAATGAATGTAAATACTAATGATTTTTGAAACGATGTCCTATCTACGATAAAAACCCAAATATAATTATTACCGGGTTGTATACTGAATTTGCGATAACTTTAACCAATTTCCAGAATTTAGAACTACACTACAAAAAGAGTGTTTATAAAGATGGAAGAACTTAATTACCATTGTTACGGAGATATAAAATTTTAGGAAATTAAATTTTAATTATTTATTATTATTAGTCTCACCCGGTCAAAAAATATATATATAACCGGAATTTTGTTAATTTTAACCTTGTTTTTGTTTTAACTGCTGTAGAAACAAAATAAAAACAAAGAAGTGGCAGAAGTGGTTCAGGGTTGCACCCAATGATTCAATGCATGTTAAGAATATTTTTACTTTTTTATTTTCCTATTTGTGGTCTAGTAAAGTTTTTAGTTCAGGGTCGAAATTGCCATAACTTAGAAGCCATAACTTTGGCACAATTTTTATGGGAAATTGTATTGCCTTTTTTAAAACTAGTGCTATTAGGTGCAATTTTAAAATAAAGATATGCTACACTTTTCTCCTCTGCTCCTATTTGAAATCATTACAGCACCACCGTATCTCAGATATTTGAACACTGGTTGTGTATTTTTTTTTCAAAATGGCGTAAATTGATAAAACGTAAAGAATTCAGAAAGGACAAAAAAGTTGCATCGATTTACAATCAATCTTAGTTAAAGTTTTATAATTGTTGCTTAAAGTCTGCAACTAAGAAAATACTTTTTATATTTATTTATATTGGCGAAAATAAGAAAACATGTGGAATTGCCAATAATAAGGGAAATTTAAATCGAGTATAATACGCTTCGGATAGCTGCGTATGCACTAAATGCTATTTAATGATACGATTATTGGGGGAAAAGTTTGAGATCTCTCAGTGGATTATGAATCAAGCTTCCAACACATTTGGAACGACTAATACCACCATCACATTGCTTGATACCAATAGTGCCTCATTTTCAATGGGCGGCCGTAGCTCGATTCATAGTAATGGGAGTATAGGTAGTAGTAATCAAGCGGACCCATCCATCTCCTCTACGCCGTCAACAACCCCATCTCCACAAATGTCAAATAAAGTATTTAACTACAAAGATAACATAGATACTGATTTCGGAAATTCCTTAAAATGTGAGGATATATGTTTAAGTGTATGCCGACATTTAAACATTTTACCCCCGACTCGGTTATTATTTGGATTACGTGTTATGGACTCTGAAAATGAATGGGCTGCTCCGGGTAGGGAATTGAAACCTGGCGTCCGGTACTGTTTCCGCATGAGAATTAAAGTTCCAAACATGGATACACAATTAAAAAACCTAGATAAACAAGCTTATGAATATTTGTACTGGCAGATTCGTTACGATATATTAAACGAAAAAATTCCGGAAATAAGGAATCCAGAAAAAAAAGATAATGTTATGGGTTTTGCTGTCATGCACATGTGTATCGATTTACAAGCAAAAAGTTCTGAAGCCGAAAGGAAGGAAGGCTATAATCGTGAAATAATTGGGAATATAGAAAATAGATATAAAGAGTATCTGCCCCAAACGCTTTTAAGAGAGCACAGATATTTTGTAAAATCCAAAATATGTGCAAAGTTCAAGGATGTACGAGAAAAAGACATTATGTTCACAGAATTTAAATTCTATTATATCGCTGATGTATGTAAGCTGGCACCAAACTATTTAATGGAGACTTATTTTGTCACAGTAGATTATATCCCAAATGCTGATTGGATTTCCGTACATTCACCTGCAGTCTGTGATGGCAATGGGGATAACAAAACAAGAGTATATGTTAAACTAGACACCCATGATAACCCAGAACCAGGTCTAAAGGTTTCGCTGAAAAAAGAAGAAGTAAGTGTTTAGTGAACATATGTATATATGTAGTATTTTATATCACATTTCTAAAACATAATAATCTCTCTTCTCCTTGTCGTCAAGGTGATAAGCCGTCAACTTCCAAAGAGCTCAATTCCCCAAAAGCTCTATCTAATAGTAATAAGAGTCTCACAATTCCAAAGGCTCCCCCTAATAACTTAGTAGCATCAGTTAATAATTTGATAGTTATTCTAACTAAAAAGTCTATATTTATTTCGAGACTTGCTAAAGATACCTTGTAAATTTAACTTCAATTATTAAAGTAAAATTAGAAGTATATCATCGATTTAAATAGACGTATAGATAGTTCATTCTGGCCACCTGGGGCTTTTGTACGCGAATTTAAACCTAAACTTAGAAGTCAAACGGAGGAAAACATTGTTAAATTACCAAAAGCAACCACCGATAGAAAAAACTGATTGGTAGAAATTCGCTAAGCATTTATTATCAAAATGTTAGAGGTCTTAATACAAAATTAACCGACTTGTATTTGAACAGTTCCAATTTTAATTTCCATATAATTGGATTTACAGAAACTTGGTTAAAACCTCACATTTTTGATAATGAGATTTTAAACAGCGAATTTCAAATTTTTAGATGTGATCGACTGAACAGAATCGGTGGAGGTGTTCTATTTGCCGTGCATTCCTCTATCCTATCTGAAAATGTTCTTGTTTCAGGGACCGACTCCTTAGAATTTAAATGTATTAGAGTCTACGTTAATAGTTGCTTTATTTATTTAACTCTATCTTATATACCACCCCATTCGGACTTATTTGTATACATGCAGTATGCTTCTTTAATAAATAGTGCTACCTCGATGAAAAATAATGCAGATTTAATAATTGTATTAGGTGATTTCAATTTACCGTGTGCTTCGTGGAAACCTTTCGATGACTATATTGTCGGTCATGTTTTAATGAGTTTTTCGAAAAAATGTCCGAGTTGGGTCTGAACCAAATTAATTTGATTCCGAATAAATTTGGTAAATGCTTAGATTTAGTATACGTTGATACCTCTTCAAAGTGTTCCGTTATTCAGAGTAGTCCTCTTGTTCTACCAGAGGACTCATATCATCCTGCTTTGGAAATATCTGTCGAAATCTCAGGCAATGTACGGGATAATAATCATCAAACTTCGTGCTTCTGTACTCGGTTTAACTTTGCAAAAGCTAATTTTAAAAAGTTAAATACAGAACTTTCTACAATAACATGGCCTAATTATAATGGTGACATTGAATTGAGTGTCTCTCATTTTAATAACATTATTACGAAATTATTTGAAAAGTATGTTCCAATAGTAATTGTAAATAAAAATAAAAGTATAAGTCCGTGGTTTTCGAAAGAGTTATGTAAATTGAAAAACAGAAAAACTTGAACCCTTAAACATTTTAAAAAAACCGGTTCATTGTCGACTATTCTAAATATTTTCTATTGCGTCGACAATATTTTGACCTAAATAAAAAATGTTATAATAATTACTTAAATAAAGTAAAAAAGAATATTGTAAGTAATCCAAAATCGTGTTATGATTTCGTCAACTCCAAACGCAGGATTTCCAAATTTTCGTCCGCGATGAAATACAAATCTATCATTTCAAGTGACAACTTTCGTTGTTGATTTACGTGAGTACCTGCCGGCGACGGCCTTACCTCACGGTGTTCCAAAACACAGCGTATCAATACAATGCGTTGATAAGCGCCCCAAACAATACGAGCTATTTGCAAGTATTTATTTGGATACCAGTGGCAGTGTGTCTGGGTCCACACTACCATCTTGGTATGATTCCGTTTTCGGGTACGGAACCCAGTTGCTTTGTGCAACTTTATTTTAGAACTGAAAAAACAGTTAGGTTGAATTTTCAGTTCTTCCTGCATTTAGGTTTCAACCACAGCCACCACGAATCTCCCCAAAGGGGCCATAACCCAATGAGCAGATTGGACCGAAGTCCAAGGGCTTTCTGCTCCCCGTGGTACCAGAAAGTCTCCGGTAAGACTGTGTAGCCAAAACTACTGCCAGTTGAGCAACCCATTACTCAATGACTGGTGACATTTGTCGCTTGAACTTGAAATGTCTTTTTATTTGCTTTTTCATTTAAAGTCTATAATATTAGTTCAAGCTGAGTATTATAGCACTATTTCTGACATACTATGCTGATATTACTGAGCAAGGTACATAATAACAGTCATAGCGCATTTGGCTTTTAGTCGCCTTTTACGACAGGCATGCCTTACCGCGGGTAAATTCTTACCCCTACCCGCAGGGGAGTGATATTATATCCAATATGTTTGCAGAATTTTTCAAGTCAAACTACTGTAATAATTCTTCCAAAACTTTTTCTTATCAGCTGTGTAAGACATCCTACTTAATTTAAATAAGTTAAAACCATCTTTTAGTTATGGCCCAGACATGATACCCTCATGCTTCCTAAAAAATAGTGCCAAATATATTTACCTGCCTTTGACAAGGATATTTAATTCCTCTCTTAAACACGGTATATTTCCTTCAATATGGAAACAGTCATTTATAATTCCTTTGCATAAAAGTGGATTTAGATCCAACATTGAAAACTATAGAGGTATCGCAAAACTATCAGTTATACCTAAACTTTTTGAAGCTATCATCACTGACCATATAAACTTTTCGATTTCTCCGTTAATTTCCTCATCTCAGCATGGATTTCGTTAAGAGAATTCGACTATAACAAACTTGCTTGAATTTGTAAACCATGTATCATTGTGTTTTAGGGTACATAAGCATACGGATGTTATATACACTCGATTCTCATACATAAACTTGATCTGCTGGGCTTTCAGCCAAGATTCCTTCAGTGGGTATCTTCCTATCTTTATAATAGAATACAACGAGTGATATTTGAGGATACACCTTCAGATACAATTAATGTTTCCGATTCTGTTCTTGCTGTTTATTAACGATATCTCTTCAGTAATAGAATTCTCAAAAATTTTATTATACGCTGACGACGTAAAGCTTTTAAATCATACACTTCAACTGAGGAAAGGTGTCTGTTGCAAATAGACTTACACAATTTGGTTGCATGGTGTGATAGAAATGATTTGCCATTGAATCTCAATAAATGTAAGACGATGTGCTTTTCCCGTAAATCTGTGCACCACTCTTCTTATGTAATAAAACAACATATTCCAGAGCAAGTTTTCAACTATGTTGATTTGGGAGTTAATATGGACCCTAAGCTTAATTTTAGTCTTCATATTGATACCATGGTCTTGAAAGCAAAAGCTGTCCTCAGTTTTGTTAAACGTTGGTCTAAAGAATTTAGAGATCCGTATATTACTAAAACACTTTATACAACTTTGGTTAGACCTATATTGGAACATGGCTCTGTTGTATGGAGCCCTAGCTACCAAATCCATTCTGACAAGTTAGGGTAAGTCTGCCTCCTTACACTAGTCGTTTAAAACTTATTAATCTACCTACACTTTCTAGTCGTAGGGAAATGCTTGGCATAATATTCTTAGTGAAAATTTTGAACGGAACAGTTTACAGTTCTTTTCTCCTGCCTGAAATTAAATTTAATATCCCGGTTCACTTTCTCTCTCTCTTGCCTTTTCTGACTCGGCTAATCATTGGGCTATTATGATATTTGAAAAAAAACTTTTATTTATTCCATTCTTTATCTTTATCCTTTACAGTGGACACTATTGGCAAAGCTTGAAGATATTTTTGCGATATATATCGAGGATAATGTGTGTGCGTGTTTGGAGATAACGGGGCTACCAAAAAGTTATTGCATGAGATTTAAATCAAAAGTGGATTTGGAATCATTTATTACATATGTAGGAGGGTACTTGAGGTATGTTTATTCGATAATACATATGTTAGTTTATAGTTTATTTCGTTAATAAAATGTTATCTTTAATATTTTCCTCTTTCTCATCTTAAGGCTAACCTCCAAGTGGTTAAAGGATTTGTGTAGCGATTATACGACTCCATCATTGAATGAATTGATCGACTTAAAATGCCACGGACCAATTGGGTATGTTATTTGTTGGCATATATAACTATTTACAATGAATAATCTAAATAATTGTATTTGAATGTCACAGTGGAACATTTTCCTTTGCTAAATTGAGAGAGAAATCAAAAAAAGGCTCAACCTGCATTATAAGGCAATGTGAGAGAGAATACGACGTTTATTATATCGATGTAAATACCCAAATGTAAGTAAATAGCGTAGCTTAACGAATATGTTATGAAATGTTAATTGGAAATACTTGTAGTAATATTACTTTACGCTCTTGTTTTTAGGTCAGCGAAAGGTAGGTTAGGCGAGAACATAATAACGACTAAAATTGCGTTACAAAATAAAAAATGGTTGTTTCACGGAAGTGAGGGTGTGAAGGAATTTGAAACTCTAAAAGATTTGAAGAATTCAATATCCCCTCAAATGCCTTGGATTCCGCCATCAGAATATGGTAATACTCGAAACTATTTGCATTTCGAATTTTTGATAAAACTACGTGACTTTCAATTATTTAGATTATGCACCACTTCTTTTAATCTGTTTGCCAAAAAATCTACATCCAAAGAAGACTGACACTGAATTAAGTGAAGCTGAACTTCGAAAAAGACGAGTTCAAATACTTGATCGGAAGCATGACCTTCGATTCTATAAAAGTAAGTTAAGGGGCCAATTTTTTAAAAACGTTATAAGTAAAATAATGTTAATATATTTAAAAAAGATACGCAGTATGTTTGTGATGACGCTAAAATGATGATAATGCAAGGAGACTGGGTCCAGGAAGGTGCTTGTAAAGACGTTAATGTTATGCTCAAGGTATTTTTTCCGGAAATCAACCTTGAGGTAACATACTTTTTCAATAAAACAATAGATTCAATTTTATTTACGTAACAAGTAAATAATAATTTTCACTTTTAGGATATCACATGTTTAACTAGTATTTGTAGTCAAATTTTTTCGGCTCAATTTCTGAAACTCTATGGTTTGACTTTGACCACTCCTTATACTATGGTAATGGAATATGCACCTTATGGAAATTTAGATAAGTTCCTGCGTAAACATAAAGATAAAATCTCTTTCCAAATGCTGATATCGATTGTGTTTGATTTGGTCAGAGGAATCGTTTACCTGGTAAAAAAAATGAACATTCAATATTTGTCGAAACAATGTCCATCACTATTATATCTCTATTTCACACACAGAGTGAGAAAGGAATTTATCACGGCTCAATCCGGTGTTCTAACATGTATGTAACAAAATTTGATCCTAAGTCTCATATTATTGAGACCAAAATTGGTGATCCCGGACTTCGTCGTAGTTATTCATACGAAGAGTAAGTTAATTTCACTTTATTTACACAGATACGTTTATCTTTAAATTACATAATGTTTCTTATTTAGCTTGCCGTGGATACCACAGGAATATTATAATAATCTCAAAGGCGCTAATGATGATAAGTACGTAGATGCATGGGCTTTCGCAACGACTCTATGGGAAATATTTTCTTATGGAAAATCACCTTTGGAAGAACTGAATTGCACCGAAAGCCCAAGGAAGATTGCTGAGAAACTACAAATGAATCGTTTGAGAGATGGTGGCATATTACCTAAACCAAGTGAAACTCTGGACGATTCGATATATTACATCATGCTCGACGGTTGGCAGACGGATGCACACAAACGTTTTAATTACATAACCATCTTCTCAATCATAAATAGTTTCAAAGAAAAGAGAACGATAAATTACGAGTCAGTTAACATCGATAAATCATATTATGATAGCGACACTAGTTCTAAAAGTAATGAAAATATCGGAGATGATATATCAGTGGATTACTGCCCAGGACCATCACCCGCACAAATCCAACGATTTTCACATTTTCAGATGTCTTTTAATAGCTCATTCGACGACACTGCTTTTGTAATACCATTCTCAGAAGGAAAAGTAATTGTTGATAAGCGAATAGGTGATGGTCATTATGGTATTGTGTATTCAGGCATAATGTATTACAAAAAAGCCGATAAAGCACCGGAGAAAGTGGCGGTTAAAACAATGAAAACCGTAATGCCGACGAATATAAAAGATTTTCTGCGTGAAAGTGAAATAATGCGGGTAAATAAAACTACAAAACCCCTTTTAAAGCATTACATTGATAAAGACACATATATAATTACCATTTACAGGGGCTCGAGCATGAGAATATTGTAAAAATTAAATACTCAATCGAAAAACCTTTCTACATTATAATGGAATATGTCTCCGGTGGTTCTTTTCACGTATACCTTAGATCTCAGCGGCCGAATTTAACTAACAAAAGGCTTCTACATTTCGCTCATGATATTGCTAAGGTTTGTTATTGAATAATCATATTGCTACCTTACTTGCATGAATATATTGTATTTAAATAATCGTTTTCATTATTATCGTGATATATATCGTATCGCAGGGTATGAATTATATGGCGGAAAAGAAAATTATCCATAGGGATTTGGCAACACGGAACATATTAATTGAAAAAGAAAGGGCAAAAATATCTGATTTCGGTTTGGCGCAGTTAGCAAATTCGGACGGCTACTATCTTGTAAATAACATTTTCCGGGAATTACCCATAAAATGGTACATAACATTAAGAAATATAAAAAATTTGAAATACTCATTCAATATCTATCTCTCACAGGTATGCTATAGAATCGATAAGAGATTATAAGTATTCCGTATACTCAGATGTATGGTCTTTTGGCGTGACTATGTTTGAGACTTTTTCTCGAGGAGAAGTTCCATATCTCGCTGGCAATCGGGATTTGGAACGAGAAGTCCACCTAAAACTCCTAGAGAAGGGACATAGGTACATATATATATACACAAAAACGTACATATGTTATTACTGGATGAAAATATTACAAATATACTTTGATTATAGACTCCAAAAACCAGAGTTATGTTCTCAAATTATTTACGACAAATTAATGCTACCATGTTGGAAAGTGGAACCAAAAAGCCGGCCAGATTTTGCCAAAATACTTGACATTATACAGTTAATTATGGAGGAAGATGGTGAAACCATATGAAATAAGCGATTTTTGAATAATTTATCTGAATATATCAATTCCCACTAGATGCTATTCAGTGAAATTGAGTTATATTTAAACGTTATAGTAAGGTTAAGTTTACTTTTAAAATCTTCACACAAGAGGTTTATTTTCGACGTATAAGGTTTCAACCGAATATAGTTGAAACAACTTCATATAGTTTAAAAATAGTTCTCCTTCCTAATGATTCATCTGGAACTTAACGTAGATTTAGTAATATGTTGATATAAGAGAGCTGCCATATAAAATTTCCGACTATTATTTGCTCACAGACCTGTCTATACATAGATTTGACCTGCGAAATCTCACGACCCAAATCCTAAATAAATAATAAAAAAATTGTACTTGGCAAAGTCGCATTGTACATATCTATTCGTTCGCTTTTAATATTTTTTAGAACATAAATTCTGCGATAAGCACTATGTATAGCTTATACTAAATATAAGTATATGTATTTATTTTATTGAGCTTTGCGTTTTTAATGTATTATAGAAATATGTTTGAATTGTTTTGCCTGAGTTTTCTTTCGACTTAGTTCGACTATATTTATCAAACATTTTTACCAGAAAACTGTTATTATATAATTCATATACATCTAAATATATTATAAGAACGCCATATCTAAGCTTTTGTGAATTTTACTTCGAATAAAATATTTAGAATCTGTTATTCGTATATATAATATAATAAATCAAGAAATATTTAAAAATTTGCACTTAAATAAGTATAGATGAGTAGCTTTTTTAAATGGGTGAAATCTGGGTCTTTGAAATAAAATTTTTAAAAATGTTTAATTCTATTTTTATTTGTACCTTTATTAAGAAGCATTTATGCTTTGGAAATCATACCCTTTTTATTTAATCAGATACGAAATTTGTAATTTCTGTTAGTCGTCAGCTGTATTGTCTTTCTTTTAGAACATTAGAGTTTAATTAAAGTATGATGCAAATTGAAAATAGTTTTTTTTATACTCCAAAAAGTTGTGTAATAAGTAATTCTAACCACATTATACATATATTTTCTGACTGAACGTAAACCGATATATTTGTAAGGTATTCGTTTTGTTAGGATGATCCTTCTGCGTTTTTCTTTTTGAGCACTTCCATAACGCCGGCGAAGTTTGCAATTTTCTTTTTCGTAGACTTTGGAGTAGAATTTTGATTTCTTACTCTCATTTGTGGTTGGGTAACATCGTCGCTAAAGTCAAAGTCCGTTTTAGCTGCTGGCCTAAAGGAAAAAGTATCAGTTCCGTAACATATTGAATTAGAGTAACAATAATAGACTTACTCTTCTTCAGTATTTGCTGGTGCTGTAGGTTCAACTTTAGGAGCTACAGTTTCTGTGTTAATTTGTTGGCGTCCAGGAAATTGCCATTGCAGTTCCGGAATTGTTCCCTTTTCAATGGTCATGTATAAGTTCTCCAGTTCTTCTGCTCCTGGTATTTCGTACTCTTCCCCATTCGAGTTGTAGCTCTCTGTGGGATTAATATCTACGGCTGTCATTTGTATGAAACTATTGTATAAGTATGTAAATTGGAGAGTTGAGTTTATATTATTAAAAAATCCTATATAATGTAATTACCAAAATGTTAGTAAACAAACAAGTTCTCATTTAGAAAGACAATGTTGCCAAAATAAAATTTAAACGGATTAAATATACATATTGTGACGAATATAGATAATAGAACAAATTCGAATGAACGATAAACGGCCAGAAGCAACTAGTTACCGAATTCGTAGTTGCCAGAATGTTCTAGAAGCAATGTTTTGTTACAGATTTACTATATAAGGGCTGCCGGATTGTGCAGCAAACACAGTTCTAGTTAGAGTGTTGTCGTGATAAGAACAATTGAGACATAAGCAAGAAGTTGTAAGCTCGAATAAGCAATAAGTGTTAAGTCGTTGGAATTAGAAATAAAGATAAGTGTGTAGCCATTAAATTGGGACTTTTATTTAACAATCCAGTGATCGAACTCAAGAGTGAGTTACAGGTAGACGATTTATCGAGAAATCCGTTACAATATGTACTTAAATTTATCGATAAGAAATCGCTCTAATTCAATAACTATATATTTTATTTACATATATTACACGTTGTTTGTTGCGTGGTATAAAAATTGCAAAATTGATATTTGACAGAATCTCTCAAGATCATATATACCTTTTACATTTTTTTAATAGATCAGATTAAATTAATATACATATATTTTGAAACTTGAAAACTTCAACCTGTCTGGAACCATTTCATACATTGTATAAAATTATAAATTTTCCCTTATATTACATTAAATCTATACGTTAAAAAATAGTTATGCTTTATTATTTGTTTAAATTTTTTTTGTAATGTCGAAAGAGAACTGAAGAGAAGTGTTTATGGTTTAGAAAAAAAATATTCAAAGGAAACGTTAGATCAAATAAATTCTAGGAACCATTGTAAAAAATTCACCGGTACTTTGAAAATACTAAAATTTTTGTATTAATATAAATAAGTAATACAATTTTAGGAAATTCGAATGGGTTTTAATTATTTTTTATACTTTGTTCCGTCGTATCGTTAATTTACATACAAAATATCGTGGATCGCGCAATCAATATTGCACGTTTAAATCGTGATTCGGATTTCTAAATAAATATTTAAATATTTTGTGATATGGATCGCAATATTGCATACTACTTTTTTAATATAAATTGAACGCCATCCAGGACCGCGATATTAATTGAACGTGTAGCAATGAGCCCCCCATTTATTGGCTCTAATATCAGAGAACGTATATCAAAGTTCTCTGCTAATATCCATATGCGATACATATAAAAGGATCTGAAATTTTTGCAACTCTGCGTTCAGAAACAGATGGTCATCCAATCATTTGAAAATTCTTAAGTTTCGTTTATGTAGCCATTGATATGGTATTTTTTTTGACGCTTGGTTTTGTTGTGTTGCAATATAATTTTAATTTATCAAAAGATGGTGGATATAAATCTCTGGATGTTCCTCGGTATTATGACAGTTTTTAGTTTCGTAAATGGGTATGAAAAGGAAATGACAGTATATATAGAAGCTGGCAGAAAAGAATGCTTTTACCATCCCGTACGAAATGGGGAAACTATCGATATAGAATATCAAGTGATTGATGGTGGGCATGGGGACTTAGATATAAGCTTTTCACTTCTGGATCCTATAGGATTAGTAATAGTAAGCGACTATAAAAAACCGGAAAACATACATCGTCATGAGGCAAACAAAGACGGAGATTATCGCTTCTGTTTTGATAACACTTTCAGTTCTTATAATCGAAAAACTGTATTCTTTGAACTTATTATTGAGCAAGAAGGACAGTCAGCTTTTGATAACGATTGGGATAATGCCTCTACTTCCAAAACACCGGAGGAATTGTATGATATTCAAGTTCATGAAATCTTGGAGTATATTGGACGCGTACACATGCAAATAGCAAAAGCTCATCAAATATTAAACATGTTACGATCAACAGAGGCACGAGATCGCAATCTAGCGGAGGCTAATTACTCGAAAATAAATAAATGGTCACTCTTTCAAATATGTGCTATGATTTTGGTGGGACTTTTACAAGTGTTCATGGTTCGAAGTATATTTGATACAAATACGCGAATGAGCACTTTCTGGAAAAAATTGAGAATGTGATGCACATTCAAACATATCCGGTCTATAAAGCGAATGGAACAAAATAATATGAGTGTATGCCTTTACGTGGAAATATTCCGCCATTTAAACCAAAGAAAATATTCCAAATTTTATGGAATAACATATACTACATGTGTATGAAAAATACTCAATATAACTGAATAATACTTGGAATGTAAATCTTACTTTAAGACGATCTCAAAAAACAGCAATTCTTAAATAATCAACCTCCAGTTGGGTAAATGTATTGTTATGCAGTCTGCCATAGTAAAATTAAGAGTCATATTGTTAAAAATGTTTGCTGTATAAAAAATTGTAGCCATTTTAGCTTTATATCAGAATATATTGAACCAATTTTTTATTACTTCAATTATATGTATATTTGTATGTATTATTATTCTAAAACGATGTGATTAAGTTTGTCCAACTTTGCGCTGTTCTCGGAGCATTTGAAATGATATGCCAGTTTCTTTGTGCGTACTTCGTGGAAAACGTTTTACTTTCTTTGACTTTTGCTTGCCAGTTGCAACACTTACAGGCAAAATGTTTCGTTTTTGGAAGTTTTTAAATCGATCCACCAACAAACTGGATTCTGGTTTCACATTTCGCAGATTACCAGCAATGTCCTCTGGCATATTGATATCTATGTCTGGATCCACATACTTACGACGTCCTAAGCGTTTAGTTTCGAATTTTTTCTTTAACTCGACCTTTTTGCGGTGCTTTTTTAAAATCTTTAAAGCTTCCTCTTCGGCAATGACTTCGGTTTTAATTGATTTTATCCTATGTAAATAAAGAAAACACATTGTATATTCAATCTTTTCGATGGTGGAATTTGGAGTTGTACCTGTTTAAGTCAGCAACTTGCTTTTTAAGAGCTTTCTTTTCTGCTTGCTTTTTCTGTAATTCTTTTTGATGCAGTTCTTTCCGCCTTGACTGTTTACTTCTCTTCTTATTTTCAACTGGGGGATTAATAGTTCTATATTCCCCAGCTTCTATGACATCGTTTGATTCTCCTTCACTTTCATCATCTAAGCCTGAACGCATTTCTTGCAAACGTCGTGTATCACGCTCTTCATGTGTAACTTTCGAAAACATTTGAGTAGTAACTCGTTTCAAGTGGTTTTCCTCTTTTATGATTTTTTCTTCTCGTTCTACAACTTCTTTAATCAATTTGTGGTGGTCATCCAATGATGGATTATAGCTCAGGCCTGGAGGAGGGGTTGCGAATTTTCTATCAAAAATAATAATAGTTATAAAATTACTGTATAGGATTTCTATATTTTTTAAAACATAAAATTTACAAAAACCAAAATGTATTACCTACTTTGCTTTTGTTGTGCGATGACGTATACTATCGTGCACTTTTATTACTGGTTTACCAACATTCTTTGTTACATGCAGTGCTAATTCTTTGCTTATCCATCCTTTCTCATCTTTTAAACCAGGTATTTTGTCTCGAAAATCTTCTTCTGCCCACACGTCTTTTGCTGTTTTGATTAATTGCTCTTCTTTCTTTAGCTTTTTTTCAAGAGTTTGGTAGTATCGCTCCCTATCTTTATTTGCTTGGAAATGTCGAGGTTTAGTTGGATTTCGGACCTCTTCTTCGATAATACGTCCACTTTTTTTCTGGCGAACTCGATTCCTGTTACATTAGAGTGTTTTATACATTATTTTTATTTATTATTTAGACTATCTAATTTTACCTTTTAACAATTGGATCTTTCACTTTAGACGTATTGTTTAAAGCCTCCAAAGAACGCAATGGTTTTTTAGCGTTTAATTTCCGTTTTTGCTTTTCTGTCAGAATGGCCAATTTGTGTTTCAGTGGTGTAGCATCCACCGCAAACAACTCATCGTCGTTTTTGTCTGCAAATGACCTACCGACAAAATCATAAAATAAACGTTAATTATTATATTTATGTTATTCTTTTAATTTAAAAATATTTTACCCAACACGTTCCTCTTGTCGTTGGTCCTCTAAAAATTCTTCTACATCTTTAATATCTGTTTTGCGCCATGCTGATTTGGTTTTCTTTGAAATACGTTTTTTCTTAATTGCAGACATATTTCTTTAAATTTACTTAAACTCAAATTGTTTAAACTTTAATTTCCACCGTGGAAACCTTAAAGAAATACACGTGTGTTCTCAAATAGTAATAATGAAGAAATGCCAGATTAATCATTGACACAGAGAACGTAAAATAAGATATACGTTCTCTGGTTTTTTGTTTAGTACAATACGAATAAAAATTAGTAAATTTAAACAGAGAACGTATATATGCTATCATGATATACGTTCTCTGCCGCCAGCTGCAGAATATATGTATCTCTGCCAGCTGTTGCACAGATGAACGAGAATATATATAATAGACGTTCTCTGTTGTTGTCTTTTCGGAACGATGTAGGAAAAAGAGAGCTGAATAATTGTGGCAATTTAGAGACTGAGCCGTGTAGTTAGATTTGGAGAACATAATATTTTTCTATTAGAATGTAATATGTCATTCTTAGTAATATTAAAACTTAAGTGATGTTATTTCAGCAAACACGTTAATTGTTCATTTAAAGTATAGTGCTTGAAATAGCCAAACATTCGCGTCAAAAATACTGATTCAGGTGAAGTTATCGTTGATAATTTTTATAGAACGCGGAAAACAGAACGTGGCAAAGTATCGTTAGCGGCCACAGGTGTTTATTGGTGTCGTATTCATAGTATTGAAGTTTTACAAGTTTGAATTAATTATCAAATAAAAATGCGATTTGCGCAATATATTTGTTTCGTGGCCATTTCCTTAGCCATGGTGCCAGCATGTTTAGGGCTTTTGGATGGTATCTACTGCGGCAGGGAAGATTGTTATGATGTCTTGGGTGTAACTCGTCAATCCACCAAATCCGAAATAGGAAAAGCGTATCGTTTGTTAGCTCGAAAACACCATCCTGACATGCATCGGGGTGCTGAAGCAAAAGCGGAGGCAGAGATAAAGTTCAAGTTGGTTGCCACTGCGTATGAAATCCTGCGAGACGATGAATCACGAAGAGATTATGACTATATGTTAGACCACCCAGAGGAATACTATTCACATTACTATCGCTACTATCGAAGACGTGTTGCGCCAAAAGTCGATGTTCGCATCGTCATTGTTGCAACTCTTACAATAGTTTCTATCATTCAGTACTACTCGGGACTACAGCGTTATGATAGCGCTATAAAATATTTGGCAACTGTGCCAAAATATCGGAATCAGGCAATAGAAATTGCCAAAGACGAGATTGAAAAAATAAGTAATCGTAAGGGCAAGAATCGAATGTCAAAGAGTGATCAACGCGAAGAAATTGAACGCATTGTCCGTAAAGTTATAGAGGAAAAGATGGATGTTAGGGGTGGCTATGCTAAACCTTCAATATATGACGTACTGTGGGTCCAGTTGCTGATTTGCCCATACACATTGCTTAGTTTCTTAGTTTGGCATGCAAAATGGATTTGGAAATTCACAATAAGGAAGCAGCCGTACGGACGAGATGAAAAGCTTCATTTGATAAGGCGTTATATGAAAATGGGTGAGAACCAATTTAATGGATTAGAAGATCATCAAATTGAAGAATATTTACGATTGGAGCTATGGGAAAAGGATAAGTTTGAAGAATGGCATGAAGAGCAGGAAGAGGAGATGAAAAAGAAATTGGCAGAGAACCCACGATACAAATCTTACCGACGATATATGAAAAACCATGGACCAGGAAGAATGACATTTGAGGACTAAAAGACCAACGCCTCAAATTCAATTAATACATACTTATGTTAAAGATAAACTAAAAATTTGCTAAAAAATATTTATTTAATTTCCTAAATAACAGTAAAGTAGAATACAATATACAATACATATTATTATGGCTAATATATCAACATGTATTTAAGTTGATCAAGTTTTATTGATTCCGTTTTCAAAATGTCTTTCTTTTTGTCATCGAAATATGTTTTAAAAATAAAATGAATTTACTGTAAACGTAACAACTTTAAGAGTGCACATTTCTTATTGCTTTAAAATACATGATCATCATGATATCTTCCGTAATCTATTAATCAGTGTTCATTGAACTATTGAGGAACCGGTTTATATAAGTGGAATGTAAGCACACTCACAAGCTTATGAAGCCGATTAAAACTTGTGGTTTCTTTAATTATTCCCACATGTTCTTATTTGTTTGTAGAATATTCTTATTGATACAATTGTTTTTATTCATATTTGGCACTTTTATGCATGTATTTAGAGTCTGTGGAAATTTTAATAAGGCCATTGAAATGATGGCGGCTTACGAACAGTGCTGACGAAATTAGTTTTTGTGCCAAATAATTTACATATATGTGCATAAATTTGTACATGTGTACATGTGTAGATATCTTTTTGAAGTACTTATTTCGTAGCTATACTTATGTTGTAAAATAATAATTTCTGAAGAGGTATAATCTTTCAATAAATATTAACAATTTATTGTTCATTATAATAATACATCTATATATTTCCTTATTATTAATACAAATACTAATAAATACATTGATGAAAAGTTATGGCTGTAGATCTTTATCAGCATATCATTCACCACATGTGGTTTCTACAAGTGAGGTAATTAGGATTGCCACGAAAATTTTCACCTCGTCCAGCAGGTGAGCTCCTGGCATGAAGGATCTTCGTGTGCCAATATGAAATATATTTCAGAAATTACTTCTCATATGACAACTATGCGTAGGATACATATTTATGCTCCCAAGCAGTTAATTAGTTACACGTTTGAGCTGTTGAGTGTTCTAGCGAAAAATGTTCTTACGTTAGCAAATTTTTTATAATACAAAATAATTTATATAATGCTACTTCATGACAATGAACGTACTCCCAAAATGTATTCGACATCATTATCATCTTCTAAGTGTTCCTCGTCGATCGTATCTTCGAGTTCCATCTTACAACGGCTTATGTCATCGTCTCCGTTGGTTAAATTTCCACTATCATTAACTAATTCTGTGGTAAATATGCATTCCTCGAAGGCCACTGTTTTTATTGCAGTAATTTCTTGTTGTTGCGTCGTATCAGAATCAGATTTTATACTAACAGCAGATTCATTATCATTTATTCGTGTAATTGATGATATGTTTTCACAGCGTGTATGGTTTTCTAAGTGAGCTAAGAGGTATGCTTTCTTTGTGAAGCCTCTACCACATCGTGTACATTGGAATTTTTTCTCACCCGTATGAGTTCGTAAATGTACAGTCAGAACATGTGGATATGCAAAGGACTTATTGCATGTTGTGCAACGATATGGTCGCTCACCAGTATGTGTGCGTTCGTGTTTACTTCGCGACCCAAAGTCGGAAAAACGTCTTTCACAAAAAGAGCAAGGATATGGCTTTTGACCCGTATGCACACGCATATGTCGTCTAAGCTCTACATTCGAAACAAATGCCTTGTCGCAAAGTTCACAACCGAACTGCCGGTCGTTATTGTGTCTACGCATATGAGCGCTTAGTGCATGTTGATATTTGTAAATGTTTCCACAGATCTCACAAATCTTGATAGAAGCATGAAATGCTTTGCTTTTATGCGATAACTTTTGAGGACCATTGGACTTCACTTCACTCGGAGTGGATAATTTTTTATAACTCAATTTCCTGTTAAATGTTATTCCTTTTTCAGCATTAGTTTTTGAGTTATTAGAAGATGAAATTCTTTTTTTTTCGCTCTTCGGAAACTCATTTTCTGTTTGTTTACTTATAAAACCTATACTATCATCTTCGACTCCATCTTCTGTGAATTCTTGTTTTATTTCAGCTTCAAATTTCAATCCATATTCTGTAGTATTGATTTCATTTTGTATCTTCACAAGTTTTGCGTTACTTACTTTTTCTGTAGTAGATTGTTTCTGAATTACTTTAAAATTCTCATTCGCTTCAAGACTTTCTTCCCGAATACAGTTAAAATAATCTGTGCTTTCATCAGACTGCTTTTGTTCATCTTCATCAATATATTCTACTATTCCGAAACCTGAAATTGACTCCAAGTCATCTTGAGATTTTTCTACTTCGCTTTGGTCAATGTCGCCAGATTGTTCTCCATCTACTTCACAAGTATCGATACATGATTTAATGTCAGAATGAACTCGTCGTATTTTCAAACAAGTAGGAAGTTTCATTTTCTCACAATCGACGTCATAATTGATTAAAGACACATCTCCATTTTCCTCTTGTTGTATGGATCTGAAGAGGGAATTCGTGGTTTCACAATTCTTTCGGAAGCGCCAAGCAACAGAAAGATCATCCAAACAGCGATTACATATTTTGTTGGAAACTTTAATACTTATATCGGACAAATTTAATCCTGAACATAACGAAATCTTTTCGGCAATTGAGAAACTTGACTCTGGCGACGACTGAGTACTACTCTCTTTATCTCCAGAGAAGACAGATATCAATTCACCTCCATCGTCTTGAAGGCAAATAACGCAGACGAAATTTAAATCGATCACAACTGCCATTATTATTTATTTACGTTGTTTACTACAAAATTTTATTAATCCTTTTTGTAAATCCTTTATCAAAACAAAAACAATAAATTTATTAAAATTTGACAGAACGACAAAACCTGTCATTTGTCAATAAGGCTAGTATACACGGTTTCGATGAGTACACTGTGATAAATAAATAGCAACCGTAAACCTGAAATGAACTACTGATGTATATTAAATTTAATACAAATAAACAAAAGGAGTATATACAGAAACTTTGAAGTTAAATATCTTTTAGAAATAAAAACGTAGTTGTCAATGCAAAGAACTTATTGATGTTTATTGCTAACAATAAATATCATGTTAAATGTTCTGATAGTTATTGCCTACTGTAAGAAATATGCTACTTTAATTAGAGAACGTATAATGAATAAAAAATAAATCTACGTTCTCTGTCTCTGCTATCATGGAAAATAAAGAATCAAAACAAAAAAGGCGCAAAGAAATGTCGAATCCTATAGCATTCATAACCGAGAATTTATGTTCATATTTATTAGAAAAACCAAACCTATTTCCTGGTGTGAATATCCCAAAGAAAGCGACAAATTTCATACGCACACATAAAGAAAAATTAAAAGTACAAGGAGAATTCAGTTTTCATTGCCGTTCAGAACTATGGAATAACTGTTGTAAAGAAACGGGACACAAGCTGCGCTCAATTGCATTTGATATGTTTAAGAAGGATGAAGGAGAAGATGTATCTATTAATGCGCAAGAAAGGTTTCTTCAAACGGCCGCTGGCTGGACGTTTCCAGTAGAACGGATAAAAATTGATAATGAGCGATGCTTTTTGTACCTGCAACGACAAGCGGTGATGACAATGTTAATTCAACAGGTTTTGAAAAACGACCACACTAATACCTTTGCGAAGCTGGAAAAAGACCCTAGACAAAGGGTATTTTTTAGTCGTCTAAACCAAGCCGGAGAAGAAATTGAAGAACTGTCATTTTATAGGGTTAAACTTTTAGAGGATATCCTCGGTCGGGTTTTCGAATACTCGAAATGGACTATGCTAACAGAGGAAGAAGTAATGGAAGTAACGCAAGGCAAAGGAGAAAATGTTGTTTTGCAAGTACAAGTAATCAGTGCTGCTAGTAAGCCCTCGATAAATTCAGTTATTATTCCTTCAAGTAAGCTGAGCTCTGCCACCATTCGATGTGGCATAGTTATTGACCCAATTACTGGAAAAATAACAAAATTGAAAACCAAAGAGTATCTGAGGTAATTTCTTGCTTTCACAGTTATAAATACTAGGAATACAAAAAGTGTTTGTTAAAGTTGCCGATCTAATGATATGTGCTTAATGGCAATGCATAAGTATGGTGTCCGAGTAAAAGATGATACAAGGTTTAGCACATTGATGTCTCGCTTAGGTACAGCAGCGGTTACTGTTGATTTGATGGAAGTGCGTTTTTCAAGTCCGGTTCAAATAATTCGTAGCGGCAAAGGTAGTACAAAAGGTAAAGGATAGTAAAGAAATGAACCATGGAAATTTATATATTTTGCGTACAATAGGTGCTGCCTTTATTTTGTATAACTCTGCGCGTTTAGAGTCATTGCTTCGCCGTTTTGATGAGAAGGTGGATAATGGTGATTACGAAGGTCTGCCGCCCATAGATAGTATTGACTTCACTTTGCTCGATGAAGAAGTAAGTGCTATCGTTAATAGTGTTTATTTTTATGTTCAATCAATTTGTCCATTGTATTAAATTTTTCTTCTGGTTTTTTAATTAGGAAGAATGGCAACTAGTGTTTTGTTATATATTTGCCTTCCCGAACCTTATTGAGACTTGTCTGGAACAGTTACAAAAAGGAATATGTGGTGTTCATACTATCGTCAGATTCCTTGGCGATTTCACTGCACTCTTTAGTGTATACTATCGACGAATTCGAATTTTAACGGTAAGTTCAATCTGAGATGTTATTGTTATTATTATTACTTCTTTCTTTTATATATTATTATATATAATTTGAATAATTTTAAAACTAATTAATTTGTTTTATATTTATTTTCATTCAATGTACAGCAAGAAACGCGACAGCACTTAATGCCTTACGTATATGCCCGTATATATCTGGTGAAAGCAGTTCGAGAAATTCTTAATAAAGCATTGGCTCTGCTTGATATCGAACCGGTTCATTTTATGTGATCAATTGTTCAAATTTTTGTGTGCCGAATTATAATTTTGTAAAAAATTACTTTATGTATATATAATATATTGAATAACCCAGATTTTTACATATCTAATGCTCTAGTACGTATGCAAGAAAAACTACATACTTAAATATATGAAATTCTTATAAATATTTGCGTACAAAAACTATTGAAACAATAACTTAAAATCTGCATGTAAATTCTTATCTCTAAACATAAGTATGTACTGTTCCAATGCAAAGCATTTTTCAGGATAGCCTTAAAGCTACAGCTTACAATTAAATACATATGTATGCGTTTTATACCTGTATAACCTCTTTGTTGTGCCTTAATTCCTGAATATTCTAATACCTTAAGGTTTGTTTAGTATGAAACACACAAAAATATAAATATCAGATAATACGTTCAAAAGCTATTTGAAATACTTGATTTTGGTATGTCGCTAAACCTATTAAATCTCATCTCTGCAGCTTTTTTTGATTGAATTCGGAAATGAAATTTATGTTATCTTTATTACCATAAAATAATCGTTCCATAAAATGGGTACTACCAATTGAATTCGCTTTCGTTCCTAGACACATGTTATATTGTGGAGCATCGAGCTTAACATCACAATTAATATCGTGGAATATATGTACCAATGTCGGATCGGGAGCACGGAATATACTAAGACGCCTCATTTTGCGTGCGGCATCATTGTACTGGGCTGGCACCTCGGCAGTATTGACCAGAAAATCATTTCGCCGGTTACCAACCTTAACGATTTTGTCTAAGAATTTTACATCTTCTAATCCCCAACCTGTTATATCCTTATCAAAACCATTTATATCATCATCAAGTATATCCGATTTGTATATGGCGCATATGCCGTAACCGAATTGTCGGAAGTATCCCGATTCATTGGTAATCTCGTCAGCTTGTGTATGAGCATATCCAACATCTTCATCTCTCCAACGCCTCTTAGGGTCATATTGGCTGAAGACGATCGGTAAATATACATACCGGCCTTGCACTGTGTTGAATCGTATACGATGCAATGTTTCCAATTGAAACACCATATCAACATCGATGAATAGCATTATGTCATTATCCCGTATATAAGATGAACGTGCGGCCACATCCAATGCCACACCCCGTGAAAATTCTTCATTCCGTTGTATATAGTTAATGTGTTGGTAAATGTGCCGTTGACGTAGATCCAATAAAAGATGCAAGTGACTTTGAACGCTTGCAATGTCTCCGAATATAACCACTAGTAAATCACAATTTTTATCCTGTTCTATCGCTACACGTTCATAGGTGTCTAAGAATCGCTGGAATGTGCCAAAACGTCCAGCTATTGGTAATACAAATACGATTTTCGACGTATCGGCAGCGGCGCCGAACAGACCTTTGCCAGCTGGCAAACCAGGAAGGGTAAAGTGTTTTGAAATTCTTTCCATACCGGAGCTCAACATGTTTTTCAAATAGCCTAAAAACAATAAAAACTTATATTTAAAATGTTTGTATGTGTATCGAACACATATGTATGTAAATTTTTATAACTAATTACCATACATACGTATGGAAATACAGGACAGGATTTTACTGCCTTAAGAATATGTAAATGCATATCAGTACCATATACTCACTTTTTTGAACTGTAAAATTGTAAAAGTCCTCGTTGAATTCCTTTACAAATGTACCGGTGAATGCGCGCTGTACATACAAATGACGACGCACTGGTACAGTCATTTTTTTGCCACGGTATCGCTTATAGATCAGTAAGAGGTCCAGTATTAAATCCTGACCATGCAACGGATTTACCCTATTATAGCCGTAAAGTAGTTCACGAAACTCTATAACTCGTCCCCTTTGTCGGGAATAATTGTTTATGTTCTCCATTACTTCTGTGATGACGTCTTCGAGTCCCTCCCGGAGTGCTGAGTCGATTTTATGTTTAGGATTCGCATTTTCACTAGAATAGAGGCTTCTTGCAATAAAAGACCACTCGAGTAGGTCGGATGTCGATGAGGGCGTGAATTTCTTCAAATCCGGAGTAATGCCTAAGTATTTAAATATATTTACATACATGTGTAGCTAACTGTTACGAAAGTCAAAAATTTTTAATTTGCCTAGAATGTTGTGATCTTCATAATGTTGGCCGTTATTTATCTCTTCAGGTATCAATTCGATACCCGGTACAAAATATTTGCTGTCACTGGGTATCTCTAAAAAACTCGCCATCCGTTTAATATCCCGATGTAGTTCGAGAGACTCCTGTCGGATTTCCTCTGCCTTAAGACCCTTTAGTCATAAAGTGTAGTTTGTTAAACTTGATTAGAAATCATTAATATATGTGCAAAAGCATGTATGTATATATGTAATATAAAACGAACCTGCACGAATGAATGGAGTCGATACATTAATGGAGCTTGTTTGATCGGATGGAGAGAGATAGCATTGTGGATTTCTTTGCGCTTCAGTTTACCAGTGAAAGCATAGGGTCCGCTTGAATTGTGTCTCATGATGTATTGCATCTAAGAGAATTATCAACAAATGTAAGTGGAACGATAACAGTGATAACGTCTACCGGGATCCATAATAAATACCTCGTAATTCCATGTGCATGGGATGCCAGCAAATTTTTGTACACAACGTCCGACTTCTACATCTTCATGTGTGCTATAGAGGTTCTTCAAGCAAGTTGGTATATGCGGAGCAACTATAATATTAATTCGATCCTTCCGTGAAAATTTGCATTATATTATTTATTTGCAAATTGTAACTCACCTCTGCGTAGAGTTTCACTACTCAGTATTACACCCGGACCACCCATACAAAAATTTTCATCAAACTCCAACGATAACAAGCCAAATTCCTCACTATTGCCTTTGCCGGCTTGACCTTTCCGAGAAAAAAACTTTATTTAAATTATCGTGTTCGCGCGACGTGTGCTATACTATTACCTATAAATTGTGGCTTAGAACTGTCGATCGAGCGGAGGAAGCGTTCCAGTTTCTCTGGCTCAATATATACATCGTCATCGGCTCGTATGAACCATTCAAACTTGTCAATATAGTGTTCATACATGTAATAGAGCATCATGAATGATTTCTTCTGCGGAGGATAGCGATCGTCTACGTTCTTCAAACCTATTACCGGCAACTCTTTAGAGTGAGAACCTTCTGAACTAAAGAAGGCTATTCTACCAGGCACCTCCTTCCCCCATGTATCATAAACGGCACGCGCACGTCCCTCGATAAAGTTCTGCGCTGTCATTACGCCGACGAATACAAGATTTTTCTGTGAGCTTTTAATTGTTTCTTCTTCTGGATTCATACCGATGATTTCGAACGGGTTTTGTTGCCCGCTTGGTTTCATGCTGCACCGTTTAACGATCTCCAGCGCACGATAGTTTTTGAGAACCGTGCCAATGCATAGTCCCAAAGCGATGCCAAAAAAGGCGAATATCAACGTTTTACGTTTGGTAACAGAATTCTGCATTAACATCTCGGATGATATTTGGTCTATGTCATTGAAACTGAAAAAGCAAGGATCAATCATGATGGTCACATAAAAATAAGATTTAAATATTGGTTGGTTACAATTATTATTGCTTCAAATATTTGCTAAATACTTTTGGAAATGCTCATAGCTAGCTGCTAGTTCCAGTTGACTTATTAGAAATCATAATAACGTCCTGAACCCAGACTTAGGCAACCTATGAGATTCTATCCCAATGACTTTAATGATATATCAGAAACTGTATATTTATATACCTATGTTAAGTGGATTGGGAAAAGTAGCGAGTATATTTCATGATGAATGAGGTTATGTATAGGTAATTAACGCATAAAAGAGTCACAGCTATTTGTTTACTGGGAGTACTTCTGTTGAAGAATTAAGATGCACTTGAGCTTACAGTGTCATTTAGAAGGATACGGCTAATGGAAATCTGCCCGCAGTAGCCTGTTTGAAAAAAATTGTATAAATTGAAATAACTGCTTTTTAAATTGTAAATTGTTTCATATTAGTGTAGAGAGAAAATCTTACGTAAATACATTGATTTTTAAATTTAGCCTTTGGAATTTTTCAAGCCTTAACATTTGCCAAATGGTAATACTTTCGCCTGGAATGACAATTGATGAGTGATGTTCATTTAATCTAAGGATTTCGTCCACAGAAGGGTTAGATTATTATTATTACTAAGAATTTTCCTCTATACACAAATTGACTTGGGCGCGCTCGAATTTCTTTTGCAATTTTTGTTCCCACAAATGTTCCATGTAGATTTAATATGTGTAAGTATATATAACCGAGAGCAATTGTTCAAGTATCTGGGTAATTGCAAAACTCTTAAGTGATATTTAGCTCAATTGTGTATTCAGATGTTGCATTTGCATTTTGTGTGGATATACTTGTAAAAATGCATTTAAGTATGTTGATCTTTATAAGCGTTTGGAGATAAGGAAATTGGTTGGTGAGGTTAGTACTTCTCAGCGCCTTTAATGGGAATATTTCAACATGAACATCTTCTAAAAAGCTCATAGAGAATTTATAGTGAAGCCGGGCGTAGGAGGCGATGTCAAAATATAAAACAGCAATGATATGTGAAATTTTGGATTTGTTTTTTTAGGTTTGTACCTCAACTCGACCACATTGGAATATAATAGCGTCATAACAATGAGTAGTTTTATGTAACAATTTAGATAACTTCATGAAACCCGATTCCCATATGCCTTAAGCTATACAATTAAAAATTAAATATTTGGGAGAATTAATTAGACAAATCACTTAAAGACTTTGCGAATAAACCACTTTAGCAAAAAATTTTCTCCTTCACAGCAACTAGCAAAAAAAAAAAAATGGTTCAGAAGCGACGTAGACCCGAACTAGTATAATTCCCAGCAAGACAAACATAATTTCAAATTAGCGAAATAAAATAATTAAGCATTAAATATTCTTAGAAAAATATACATATATTCGCGGTATATACAAATTTAGATATGCATGAGCTTATGTAAACTCTTATATATAGTCTGGTATGAAAATTTTGTTTATACTCTAACACGTTGAAATGTATAATCATATATACATTGGAAACCGTTGGCAAATACAATAAATGTGCATTAAGTACATATACCCCCAATTTAGTCACAGGCAAGGTTAAAGTAAGAACATCTTGATTTCTCCTAGCACCATTTTTTATTTACTACTAGGACTTTGAAACAACATTGATTGACATACTTGTAACTGCCATCGTTTGTAGTTTTGTATAGGTATACACAATTTTCACATCGGTGTGTTCGTTATAGAATACCTGCTGAGAAGGTTTCCTTGTAGAATCAAAATCGAGGTGATCGTGAATTTCTAAAAAGATCTTGATTGTTTTTTAATTGGTGCGTTTTTATTGGAAAATTCACAATTAAAATAGTAACCGAGTAACGCAGATTATAGAATTTGATAAGCGGTTAATTGATTTTAATTAGTTTAGACTCACTTGAATTTTGAATATTGCGGGAGTAGCTATTGCTGTTAGGTTTTGCATTTTTATGCACCCTTATACTTCGGTGATTTGCTCAGTTTCCCCGATTTCAAGAAAAAAAAACACAGTTTTATAAAACTTATTTGATTTCTATAGGGCAGATCTTGCTTTTGGAAATAAATTAATGCAAAGTATAATATTTTTTTTTACTGTGTACATAAGTATGTACATAGCTACGTCACTGAGGCTATTGGAATTAATTGGCGCGTGGCAGTCGGTAATGCGCCAATTTTAGTCGTTGCAAAAGCTCGTGTTTACCTATACACATAAAGGGGTTCTCATTTAGGGCAGGTGGATGTTGAAATTGCAAAAGCAAATGTGTTCAAGGTGTTCTAGCAATAATTTCTTTTATTTGAAAGAAAATGTTTTTCCATCAGAAACTTTCGAGGAGGAAAACATTCAAGTGATCGATATTTAGTTATCTCGAATAAATATAAGAGAAAATGAGGAGAAATACCATACTGAAGATTATTTTTCGACCAAAATGCGAGCAATGCTTGCGCCAACCAACATTGGGGGTCCACTAAAGAATTTGTTTCATACATAATTGATATATTTAAAGCGTCATTTGCAGTCGCCACTTATTCTGATCAATTTGGGTTTATTGCAAAGTGTGGTATTTTTGTAAGCATGTATATCACGTGAAAATGATATTTCATTTCAGCCGATTTTCGGGTCACTTCGACGATTACACCGAAACCATATTGAACGCTTTCAAGCTAAATTTTGCAGATGGAGCATTTCTTTACAAATTCCCATTCGCAGGAATAGTTCGGTTTAATTCACTGTTTTTTTGTTTTATGCAAAAATGTGAACCGCATTGTAATTAGCACTGTTTTATGAATTATAATTGTACATACATGTATGTATGTATGTATAGGTGTGTATGATTATGGTCTTCACTAACTTTGGTCTCGACGGTCTTATATTATATATTTTGGCAATGTTTACGTTTATTTCTAATATTATTTATTACTAATTATTTAAATATTAACAAAAGCTTTTAGTTCCACGTATTTTCTTTTATTTGTTATGTCCAAACCGACAATTAACGAAGTTGTTTGCACTTGAACCTTTCACATCTCTGTTTAGCGATCTTGTGCTTCTTTGATGGCGTTATCATTGGAACGGGATTAATGAGAGTATATTTTTCTTTTATTAAGTCGGCATTCAGTACATAATACATTTATATTATTTATTGATTACTAAATCTGACAGAAATAAGCATAACCCCATAGTCAACTGATCGGCTGAGATTTGCCGTCTTGAACTTCGTCGATTGCAAAAACAAATATAATGATTCCAACTACATACAAGTGAGATACAACAAACACAATTGCGAGCATGTATTTTCACCACGCACATACATACAAGTACAAGTAATGTAATCGATTTGTATGTGTATTCTTTAGCACATCACACCGAAGAAACCGAAACGTTAAATGTCGCTGAAAATCGTCGTCACACTAAAATGTTGAGGCGATTGCAGGCGCAAGCAGTCCATTACTAAAAAGATACACACGTAGGTAGAGTATCGCTCAGTAGGAAACGACGGTATCTCACGCCACTCAAATATAAACATGTATTTAAGAAACTTACGGTAAGCCTGAAGACACGGCGCAAACAAGATATACTCTTTTAGTGTCTCTGAGATAACTTTTTGTTTGTTGGCGTTTGCGCACTCTTTCGTTGCTGTTTACACTGAACTCTTCTATCACCATTTACATACGAAATACAATATTCGTTTGAGTTCCCGGCGATCAGCTGAGATGCCCATGTAAAGGCGATTTACCATTTGAAATTCCTCTTTCAGTACTACATTGAAAATTATTGTATTAAATACATATTTATTATGTACTTTAGCCAGAGAATGTTAATGAATATTCAATCAACATTCTCTAGTAATACATATACAAGTATGTATACGCACATATGTACTCGTATGTATGTAACGATTCTAAATAGCTAAAGTTACAGAGGTTATCAATACTCTCCAAAATCACATTGAAAACACTCACTATTACAAGGTGCTTCATTACGAATGCCGAACTTCGTTTTGAAATGATAACCGAAGTGTAAGCATATAAATGTGTATATACCTATATATTTATATTAAATTCCATGTATTGTATTTAAAAAATAGATTTTTATCCTATCTAAGATTATGCTAGTATTGAGAAGAGCTTTATAAAGAGCTTATACAACAATCAATCGTACAATCGAGCCATTTTCATTGTAGTCTACTATCTTAATTTTCATCTCTTTTTTTTATAAAATATCGATGAATATACTTATGCTTACGTAATTCTTTCAAATTGGTGTTCACATCGGTCACCAATTTTTCAATGTCAAAAAGCTCACTGTGAACTTTCCCTCAGGATTTTGCAATATCCGTATTCTTTTTCTTCATTTATTGTAGATACCTTTTTGGGAGGTTGACTATAATTAAATAATAGAAAAATATATTGATTTAATCTCAGTCGATTTTTTTGGTTCTTAAAATGGTAAGAATTTAGAAGGATGGATGAAGTTGTAATCGTATCAAATAAGTTGGTTACTTTTATCCAACATTACTAACTAGTACAGATCCAATATGAACTTGTATCGAATTGGTTGTGAAGAGAATTTTCCTGCTGGCTCTATGGCACTCCCACAGAGTGGCTTGCGTTGGCTTAGTTGCCTACTTTTAGGCGTAACCGCGTTAACGTAGGCAATGATGTGATATTTTTTTTGACGGTACTTTTGTATGGCTATTACATATTGCATATTTTTAACAATATTTTTTTCCAAAATTAAAACAAATTTTGTATAATTATTTCATGATCATAGATACAATATATATATGTATGTAAGGAGATTAAAATTTAATATATATTTGAAATAAATACATTAGTAATCATGATGATGAGCATTTTTCGTGCATCCATTAGAAGGGTCCAAATTAACCTAAGCCATAGTTTCACTAAACTATTATTTCTTTTTCGACTCAGAAGAAAGACTTTGCATAATATAAATAACCATTTGCTTAGGTTAACAAATAAGATTTGTTTGCGTACATATATTACTTATGAGATAGCGAAAGTGACAAAAGAAGTACATAAAGATTTAATTTGAGAGACGAAAAATTTGGTGTGTAAAATTCTGCTATGCGGCTATAATTTGTACGATACCGAAGCGACTCCCTAAAATTACGTTTAGCAAATACTTACTTAAGAATCATACAGTTGGAGAAATTTGCTTATACTTTCTTGATGAAACACACCGGAACTTACACCTCCAACCGAGCAAGTGATTTGGCGGGAATTGAAATAAAACAAATGAGCAGATTTGGGATGGATTTATATAAAATTATGTGAGTCTCTATATGTTTCATGTCTACCATATAGTAAGTAATCGTATGGTACATGATTACTTAGCAATCTTAACATTGATATTGCTGTCGTCTTAATCTTTATATACACATGCATTTTTCATTCCAAAGTTCATAGCTCCATTCGCGCCCATAACAGCTAAGTTCATTTCAATGTTGTTCACTACTTAATTGTGTGCAAAAGGGGCTCGGCATATGACAAATCGTTATCGTTTTTTACTACAAGTTGCCGAAGTACAGGCACCGCGAGTGTATGGGTAATGGAATGCTTCTGTGCAGAAATAAATTTTGCAAGGCAACATTTGAACGAGTATACACATAAAAATATACATATGTATGAGCATTTATCACTGCAATAATTCAATGCTGTGTAATGTGTAATATGTACATACATATGCTTGTGCGAGAGTGCAAATGTTTCTCGATGACATACGCTATTGTAATGCTACTACCATGTCACAATAAACAATGCACATACTCACTCATATACATATGTTTGTTGTTCCAATTAGCATTTTTTATTTACATCTCATTTGTTATTTGCGAATCTGACGCAGTTTTCCAGACCGGCTTGGCTGTGTTCTCTATTAGTTGTGTTAATTTAATTTTTCAAATTTTATTCAGAACTACTATGAGTGGAACACATACATTCACATGTGAGTGCATGTGCGCTGCTCGATGACAAATGCCCTGTCTTATAAATATATCGTTTGTATATAGAAATTCCTTTCCTGCCAGAGGTGTTAATCAATTTATCATATTTACATCATCATTTTTATTAGCAGCGTTTATAGCTATTAATACATCAATTAATAATTGTTGTCGCTTATTTATTTACATATAAATTACAAATAGTCTCAGCGGAGTGCTGCACTGTGTTGGCATTCAGTATATAAATAAGTGAGTATGTATGTAAGGGCTGGCGGTTGTGAAACCGTCTTTTGCACTTGCTTCGGTGCGCGTTCATCATACGCCGGGGTGTGTTCTCTGAAATAGAAACTCAAAAAAGCTATTTATTATTGTCATACCCTAATTTTGCTAATATATCTATCAATCTAGCTAAAATTCTTATAAAAAAGGTACCAATATTATACATTCCCATACTTGGCGATAGTTAATATAGCTGATGTGATATTTCGAAAGAAAAAAATCGACTACGTACTTCCTATTCCAACTTACTTTTAGATCCTTAATATAGTAAGTGGTCAGAAATCAAATCTAAAATATTATAACAATTACATCATATTACATATTTATCGATATTTTCGTTTCAAGAAGCATATTCTTTTAGAATGTATAGTAGGCGTATTATAAAACATCTTCACTCGTCGCTGTATTGAAATGTGCTGTGAAAAGCCACGTTGATCTCAGCAGTTGGTGGGAATTCGATAATATGCAGACTAGTAACTGTTCAGATGGTTATTGAGGTTAAGAGGGAAACTCGGCCATTCATCTCGTGATGTGATTATGTGAGATCGTTAAATTGTTGCTGTTAGTATATTTCAAAACTAGCTTACTTTAAGCGACTTAATGAACTGAAATTAGTACACTATAATAATAAATAATATCCATACACACAACTCGAACACGGTGTGTATGTATTCAAGCACAGCAAGTGTTAAAAGCATTTCTAATTGAACTGTGCTTTAGATTGGTCGTTTTTCATTTTTAATTGTTGCTAATTAACTGCGTGCTAGTGTAATGAGGTAACACCCATCTATGATTGGTATGCAAAATAATTGCATGGACTTTTTCAATTAGAGGGCCTCACGGTTCCTATAGTAAGCAGAGCGAAATCAAGATAGAAATTCTTGAACTTAATTATCAGCTAATACATGTGTCGAAACAAAAACTTAGCGTGACGGATTTCCACGTGTTGTGAGTATAAGTCGCTCTCTCTCTCTTTCTCCAATTACTACTTGTATATACCGAATATATTGTCCTTTGTACCTCTTGTAGACTTTAAATTGGATATAAATTTCGGAATGAGGTGGGAATCTTCGGCTTAGGATACAGCCTTCCCTTAGCCCTTGTTAGCTTTATATCATACAATAGTACATTTTATGAAATCATATTTCGTTTAGCAATGTACTGTATCGGTATTGAAATCGAGAAAAATGTTCTTTATCCTCTCCAAGTCAAAATATATATTTCGGATCTTAAATACGATATATCAATAAAACTGGATAGGTTTGTGAGCCATTAAGCCTTTAGGTTTCGCATTCATTTGAATATAGCTCTAGCATAGTGAAAAGTGGGAAGAAACATAGAGGTAGAATATAGCAAAACACGCTATGCTAAATGGAAGGTCGCTGGAGCCTTGATATTACTCATCCACTTATCTGTGTAACTACTGTACTAGAACACAATTTGTGGCATGGAATTCTCAGCATTCATAAATTTATTGCAGTCTCTGGCTTGTAAACTCGTAAATGAGTGAATAAATTAATTTGGCACATAAATTGACATTTTTATCTTAAAATGCCATTTAACTAAACACGGCTTGAGGAAAATAATGACAACGCACAAAAATTATTACCATTAAGCACGATCACCAGCGTTGATTGCACAGAGTATCTCGCTTTGGCAATGGCATCGCCGCTCACGTTGACACTGATGCTGAGACAGAAAAACTATATGCACATGTAAATGTATGGAAACCAAACAGAACTATAGAATTGAGATAAAAAATTAAATGACATAAAATAAAAGTTATTATCGCAAATATTGACATTGTCGCACCTTGTTTACACGCTCGTACGACTCAGACCACAAGCTGCCATACACTCGTACACATATACAAGTATATACAAGTGGAAGAACGTAGTAGCTAAGTGCTTTACTTAATTGATGACAACTAGCTTGGCGGCCGTTCACCCACCTCCTACTCCCCCTACTCCACTAGCGCGAATTTAAAGTTTGCTTGTCTCTGCTGCTGTTGACTCGATCGGGGACCTTCCTCAGTTTCGCAAGCCCAGAAGCGTGGACCGGTGGTCTCGCAAAGTCACTCATATTCTCGACACTGTAAATTTGTCAATAAAGCGCTTCGATAAAATAGGTTGTTGAGTATGAACTGTATATTAGTAGAACCATTGTATTTAGCTCTTGACTACAACGCTGATTATTTGACAGTGATGTCAGCAAATGGAAACATATTCTAATTTTGGTGTTTTAACATTTAAGTAGAGAGAACTCTAAGCAAATCCCAAACAAAGTTATTCCCAATCAATACCATTGTCTCGACCGATAGGTTTTTCAATGCACAACTGTGTCTCCTTCCTTCCAGACTACTAAACTATTTCTAGTAGAATTCATCGTCGCTGATGACAGTGCTGAGCAAAATCAAACTTAGGCTTATTTATTACAATTCATAATTAGAATTTTTAGTTTAAAATTTGTTGAAACATTTTCTGAAAACTACTTTTATTTAACTGTGATGAACTAAGAAAATGAGGAACTAGTGAAACTCACAAACCCGTTATTTTTCATCGAAGGGGCGCCACAATATAAAACACAATTTCGCTGATTCAAAACTTTCGAAAATCGAATGCAACTCATAATATGAGTTTAAAAACTGGGTATGCTACTGGATAGCAAGTAAGATTTAAGTCCAAAGAGTTAGAAAAAAAGTCAGTGTTTGTGGATTTTTAGCATCGTTATTTTTTTGTTTATTTTATTTCATAATTTTTGCGATTTTATAATATAACTTAATTTGTTTGATTTAATTTTTTTTTTAAATTTTTTCTGAAATATTTTATTATACTACTGTATGTATAGTATGTATATGCATTTTGTAAATAAATAATATGTAGAGTTAATAATCGACACAACTGGTGTGGAATATGCTCAAATTATAATACAATAGTAGAAAGATACATACATAATTACATTTTTGTTTTTGTGCTAATACGTATGTATGTATGTAAATGGCAAATATGTATGCAAGTGGTTTGCACAAACATAACTACACAATTGGCGATATGCATAAACTTGTTTTTTTTTTGATAATTTTGTTTACTATTTATTTTTAATTTTACAATTTTACAAATCAATATAAAACATTTGAATATACTTTTAAAAGCTAAATTTATTTGTATGTTGTTGTTATTCTTATTATTATAATTGCTAAGAATGAATACAGCGCTTTTGAAATGAAAGCGATTATCCTGACACAAAATTCTAAAGAGATGAATGAACATTTTCTTCTAACTTTAGCGCTTGTAAAGCAAGGAAAATATTCACCCAGCACAACCAGTCCTTCTGTTTTCATATTATTTTTAGTTTTAGTTTTAATAATTTATATTTTTTATGTTATTAAGTATGCTTGCAATTGTGTTTATGATACAAAAGAGTTAAACAGAATTATAAATAAAATCACTATTAGCTAAGGTAAAACCACTTAAACTATAATTAAATTTAATTAAAATGTTCCTTTTATATTTGTTTTGTTTGTCTTAAAAAAATACACAAAAAATAATAGAACTAAACTCGAATTCGTTTAAATAAGAAATACAGTTAAAAACAATAATAATAATGTACAAATATGGTAATAATAATAATAAAATATTAATACAATTATGTGGTGAAAATGCGCAAATGGTCAGTTGTTGTACGAGTAAATATAATAATATTAATGAATGAGTATATGTGTTTTATGTTTGTGGGAGTGTGTATGTTTGAGTGCGCATATATGTATGTATATTAAGTATTGTTGTATGCCTTTTGTGTGCGGTGTGCCTGCATTGGTGCGATTAAGCTTCTATATCAAATGTGTTGAACTCTCACATATCTATACAAACATAGGTATGCACATGTGTATACCTTTAGGCAAGTCCTATTACAGTTATTAAATGCACCCACCAAGTACCGCTGCTCCGGCGCAGTTTCCAAGTTGGCGAAATTTCAAGCGCCCGCGCATTGAAAAATACTAGAGTGTAATTCTAAAATATTTATTTTAGGGTCAAACATTTCAAAGCGCAATCAGTGCCTGGTAGACATTCTATAAACGGTAATACTTACACACATGCATACATATATTTGTTTCATCAAACAAGCCTTCGCATCAGTGTTTACTACTACTATTAGTATTTAATGTTTATAAAAAAAACAAATATGTACGAGTATGTATATATAACTTTTTTTGTAATATTTTTAAAGTTCTTTTACTTATTCTATGCCATTCAGTCAATCAGTCGAAACGTTTGGGATGTGTTTCTCATACTTGCACTGTGTCTTGCTCTCTCTTTGCCGCCGTCGATCTCTGACTATCAGTCTACAGCCTACATTGTGCTTAAAATCTTTAATCGGTGTACGATCCAACATTCCTAAACTACTTCAAGAGAATTTCGTTTGCAATTCAGAGCTTTTTTCAGATTTATCTTATGGTCTTTGGAAGAGTGCTTTGAAAAGCTATACATTCTGGATAAAAAAATGTTGTGCTCAAATCCTACATTCGCAAGAATCCTGAAGCAACTGCACTGGTATTCCTAAGGTATTTTGTATTGTGTACTTTGTAATGGCAGCGGCTACTGCACGCTTGAACTATTTTACTTCTGCTCCTACAACTGGCGCACTACACTTTACTTTTCTTTGTCTGATTCTACTTCCATTTGCGTTAACATTTCCATATTTACTGCTGGATCATGATAGTTAAACTTTGCTTTAATAGGTATAATACATAAATTATTTCACTCTTTCATTTTTCTTTTATTATAACTGTTCTTGTTGTTTTTGCTAAGCGCCTAGTGGGTAAATCTTCGTTCTCTTTCTGATAACCTTTGCTACAGTGCTGCTTTTCAATATGTTTATCGCTTCGTCTTATTCAGTTTCAGTTCTGGTTTAAAAAAGTAACAAAAAACTTGTATATTCTTCAGAAGAAAACAGCGATTTCGTTTCCTATTTTTCAATGTTATTCGCGCGATTATATATATAATATGTATGTATTTTTAAATGGTTTCGATTTGAACGCGGCGCTCAGCTGCTATGACCGTTACTGCCGCTCCGGTTTAAATTTGTCTGCTGCTGCAATCGCTTCGACTGTTGTTGCTGTCGTTCGTCGGCGTTGCCGGGACGGTCCTGATGCACGCGTCGATGGTGGCGGCGCGAGCGTCGACACTGCGTGGAGCAGCACTCGTCAATGGCCGGTTCGTTTGCATTCGCACCGCCGACACCGGGTTTCTCATAGAATTTCCGCTTAGCTGAGATGCGCGTCTGCTGGCAGGTAGAGCGTGAGCAACGCTTGCGATCACAATTCACCTTTGAATCCTTTAAGAGAATTGAATGATTATAATGAATGGCTTATTGATAAATTTTGTCAAATATGTAGGGTATGAGCCCACTTACCTTGCATCGACATTTGATACATTTTTGCTCGCCATGTGATGCTAGAATCGGATGCCACTCCTGTCCATTCTCGTAAACTTTATTTAATACCTTGCAGCCACCTTGGCTGAGGATCTCCTCAGTGGATATTGTTTTATGCGACGCCTGATCTTGTAACACGTTCGGATTAGAAGGACCGGCTTTGTCACCTCGTAAAGATTTGCTTTCTGGGCATACTTTACAACAGGCTTTTTTGTCCGGGCGGTAGGCCACCTTCTCAGAGCAGGGTAGTGGTGGACAGATCATACGTGGACAACGCACTTCTAAAGTCAATACATCACAGGTACAGGTTGTACAGGTGTCGAAGCCGTTTGGAGGCAAGAACGGATGCCAAATTGCACCAGCCAAGTGGAATTGGTCACCTAATCGGCAGCCCCTTCCATTCTGCTCGGCAACGCTTTCCGTCTCAATAGCTACACTCTGTGGAAGACACATGGAGCAACATTCGCCGTCACGTCGCACGAGCTCTTCGTTGGGTTTGCATTGTACGGCGGGACATTTAATCGGCTCACATGTGGGTTGGCCATGTTGGCAGGCGCACATCTGGCAAACATCATTTGCATTACGCCACTGTTCGGACTCGTCATAAAACCTACCTGAATGGAAGCATTTTGCATCTGCTGCAATAAGATTGCTGTCACTATGGTCGCCAGGTACATTTGGCACATTGTTATCCGTGTGAATAGGAAAACAATGGGATGGCACTTTTGTAGATTTCAATTTGCCACGTAAAAGTGGCTTACTATTTTCTTTTGTGTGTATCTCTAGGTAGCATACGCTGTTTTCCAATTTGACGAGGTCGTTGGAAGGCATGCCGAGCACGTATCCCTCCATGTAAGAGCCAGAGAATTCCTCTAGTAATTTTCGTGTTACCGGTGCACCTATAGCTTCAATGGGCTTTTCTTCGAGGTATATTTGCAAATCCTGTGAATTCGATTGAAAGCCATTTACAGTTATCTCATAGTGTAAGTTACATTCGTTATCGATGGCCAACCAAGCCATGCCCATGGCGTGCGTTGGTGCAGTCGTAGCATTCTCCACTCTTTTCAATAGAATAGGCTCTGCGGAGTCTCGGGCGTCTGCAATTGGACGGGATACAAAATGACCGCGTATGAGGCTTGGTTCATTCTCAATGGCTATATTGACTCCTAAGTCGCCCTCATACAATGATTCCAGCGCTTTTGGGCCTAATTTGTCGATCGTACCAATAGCTTGGTTGAAATTGAATGTTGGTGTAAGGTTTTCCAACATTGTTTTGCGTTTACCGAGATCTTCCATCAAATTAATTTCGGGCCTATCCTTTGTGCTAATGTTATCTGTTTCGATGTTATATGAAAGAGATCCATCCGTGTTTAGAAATCCCCAGGCTAAGCCGCTGCTCTTTGTTTTCGATTCCGAATTGTGGGGGGTAAGTAAAGTCTGGAAGAGCTCGCAAGTAGTGCGTGTGATAATGGAACCCTGTATAAGTAAATGAGGATTTTTTTTCGATTCTATTGTAAGCAACAATTTTCCACGCGACATTAAACGTAACATCGGTATGGATATAGGCGAAGATATTTCCAAGACATTGATCTCAGCCGAAGGTTTGCGTACCTTTTGAAGTTCGTCCAAAACGATTTCTTTACGATCCGGGGATTCGACGCGAATATTAATAGGTGAATCCAAATATTCATCGGAGCTAAAGACACCATTGAAGACAAGCGTTAAATGCACCGAGGCGGCCGCGCCGCTGGTCGTGGAGACAATAGCTGTGCCACCAGCGCCATTCATCAGTGTTGACTTCGTACCTGGTGCAGGTTCCAGCAATGAACTGAACATTTCCTTCTGTAAGGCCGTGTACAACCCGATCTTCCCACCGAGAGCGAGATCAATCTGATCTTTTCTGCTCCATAGCAAAACGACGTGCAGCCGTTCATCACGAAGGAGTCGCTTATAGTCACGTGGAACACGACGCCATACTCCGCAAATCTTACCAGTGGCATTTTGATATACGCTCTGCATATCAGAAAGGGGCGCCTGCAGTTGATGCTCTTCGAGAATGGTGCCAGCGTCGTTGACAAACTGTATGGTTCGTGGGCGATTATTTTTCGACGACGTATAGAAGGAGTAATACAGATTCTTCTTGTGGAACAAGAAGCGACCGGTGGCAACAATATTTTGTGGATTGTAGGTGCTTGTCGCATACATGGCCTTCATTTCTTCTCCTTTTAAGAAATGTGATGTTCTGCCGGTGAGTAGAGCAGCGAAATCTGAAGGAAATGAGGGAATTGATGAGAATATTAAAAAATACTCGACTGGGCTGGCCAAAGCATGGTAAATACTTACGCTTCATGTTGCGCTCCTCCTCTTCTATGGTTACCGGGGCAGGTACATCCAAAGACACGTCCGTATCTGCAATGGAAACCGAAGAAAAGGATATGAATATAAAACAAACAAAATTCCATAGGCATTAAGAGATTAGACAAATTACGAAACTGTCAGCAGTTAAATGGAATTGGGATTGTACGGAAGTGAAAACCTTAAAATTTGCAAAGCGAGTTCAAAAGGCATCTCAGACCAAGTAAAAATAATAATTTATGAATGAATGGCAAAACGTATAAATACACTTTCGAGTATTGTGCGTCTGGTGGGCAGTGCGACTGCATGCCAATATCAGACGTGTGTTTGCTTATGCATGTATGTATGGTTGTGTATGTGTTTGTAATGTTTTCGAAAATTAAAGCGATCATAAACCCTTGTCACGTTCGATGCTTAAGCCCAATATTTATCGCACAGATAGGGTGAGGATATTTTGAAAGGGATTTGCGTATGGCTTCATATGTGAGTGTCCGCACACAGCCACAGACACATATACACAATCCGTGAATAGTCGTTGTCCTAGGAATTTAAAGGAACAATTGGATGAACAGAGCAATAGTCTTGCATGCATGCATTTGCTCCAGGTGAAGAGACGTACATAGGAGGCGCAAATAGCAAGTCTCTCAAATCTTCGAGTTAAGAAGATTTGAAATCGTTATAATAAGCGATAGAACAGCAACGAATACACCTACATATGTATACAAAAGCAGACATTCGAGCTAATACGTGCAGGTAAAATTGCTGGACAAAAGCCGATTTGCGTACATCAAAGGTTATAAACTGGCCCATTGTTACAGCGAGAAACTATTTGCTTATTGCATGTTCGACACGCGCATAAGTAAGGATTTGTGCATATGTATGTATGCACAAAGACACATACTTCATAAATAGCTGAACGCATTTTAGCAGATGATAGAAATTCTTCCAATTGCTGTTTTCCTCTTCGACGGCTGACCTCGCCAGCAATATTTCTCATCCAATGGCAAGGAAGGAAGTCCATATCTCGTAACGGCAGGTAAACAAGTGAAGGAAATTAGTGTGGTTATTGTGTGTAATTTAATGTGCAACGTGACGCCCAACGGCTCCCAAAAGCAATGAAATAGCGGGAAACCAACAACACTGCCGCTACCGCCGTCGAAGCTGCTGCCGAAGCGGAAAATACTTGAATGAGCACAGCGTAGACTCAATGACGTTGCATAGCTGTGTGAAGAATAACCAAAATTACAACAATAACATCAACAACTGTGGCATTAACCAAATTCCATACAAACGATTACTTGCACGTCGCTTTGTCTACCAATTCGTCTGCCACGCCAGCTGGACGTTGGCCCGTTCGCCCTCAGATGTGTTTCGGTGCTAAATGAATTGCACTGATAGACAAATAGCTGATCGTGCTGCACACTTAGAACCCGTACTCGTACTCGTACCTTTTAGGAGTTAAAATAGCATTGAGAATGGTATGTATTATACGTTGGTTTAGGGCTGAACACAGCGAAGCTTATCGCTGATTGCAAATCACAAGCCGAACAATATTCACGCTGGTAACTGCGGACCGAAGTTGTTGTCTTTAGCGCTTGAGGTCCTTCAGGTCGGTAGCCTACTGAATGGTTTGACTGGTTGTCTAGTTGGGAGATTGACTGACGGTCAATATAGAGGCTGGGACCATACTTAACAACGGGCCGTTAACAAACGAGCATTCTACAATCAGCTTTCATTATTCGATACTCCAGCATAGCTTGGTGCATTTGTTAAGTTTATTTTCCCTCTTGTGCTTTGCGTGCAATTGTTATTGTTGTTTATTTGACAGCAAGGTATCAGACATATTACGATTCGAATTCGATGCGGGTAATTTGTGATCGCTCGCGTCGATATAACATTGAGCTGAGCCGAGTTCAGCTGAGAACGGGGTTTCAGTGGGTGCCGAAAAGCAACTAGTCGGCATCGCCACAGCATAGATACTGGCAAAGCAAAGCGGTATACTCGTATGCTGCTATCGTCGTTGCTCATGCCCAAGTTGTCGAGTATATATCAGTACATATGTATGTATGGTTGGCGAATGCATAAATGCTCTGCGCCGCAAAAATTTTACCAACGACCAATTTTTATGCATTCCATTGACGTTGCTGGGCGCGCGCGATCTTATACGCCTGATTAAGAGCGCAGCCTTGCGAACCGCCAGCGACAGCCGTGATTGGACAGCCACTCCAGCAACCTTGTCGGTGGCTCCAGCTATGTGCATGCTGCTTATCGACTATGCTGTCCCCGGCAATGACTGTGTCCCTCCCTATGTTACGTGCGTTTAAATTGTCGATTCTGAAGAATTTTTTTGTCGGCGTTTTTTTTTACTTTTTATGTTTTTCTCATTTAAAGCAGCTCTGCTGCCGCCACTGCCGATTGTATGGTCGCTCAGTGCATTGTTATAACTATACGCCGTGCTGTTGTTTGTTGTTTTTGTAGTCGGCAGTGGTAATGAAGGGCGACAAATCTGACACCTTGTATAGCATTTTATTGAACGTGTTGAACGTTGAACAGGAAGGAATACCCATTGAGTTTTTGTTTGATCCTACACTTTATTCTTCGTCACTCGTTCTCCATTCCCCATTCTTAAATCTTTAACGTCATTCTTTTTTTGTTTTTGTGTTTTTTTTTATTTGCATGGCGCAGTAATGCTTGTTTTTATATCCCTTTATAGGCAAGCATACGTCTTGCCTGGGCTGCAATCTTTTTTGATCCACATTTTTCGGGTCTTGCTGCCCCCGTCGGTGTTTATGGTCTTACGCGTGTACCTGTTTTTATTTTTATTGTTGTGCTAGCTTTTGCAACTCCACCGGCCACAGTTAACAGCACTCTGCTTGTTGTAGAGCAACATTGATCTTATCGTTTGATCTTAATACCTTTTTCTTCTGAATTTGACAGGCGGACGGTGGACAGCAGTACACGGACAGACAGAACGACAAACTTACTTTCAGCGCTGGGTATTGCAGCACGTTGGTGCAGTTGATTATGTAAGGTGTTGCTTATTTGTGTAGTATGGATGGCGCTATCGCACAACAGCAGCTCAGCCAACCTCGCTATGCCGCGGGCAACTTAACGCGTCAAACTAACAATCCGGCGCATTCATGACTTTTTTGATGGGATCAAAGACATTTCTGTGGCCGTGTCAAAGCCGGTGTCATTGCGAGTGTTGCTGTCACTGGTCATATAACTATCGCCGGTGTGAATATTTCTTGCGCCATTTTTAAACTTTTCGAATTGGTGCTCTACCCTGCGCTGTCTGGCTGTTGCCAAGCTATTTCTCTGTGAATGTGTACATATTTTTTGTCGGTGAATTTTCGCAGTTTTGTTGTTCATTGTAAGTATATAAAGTGAAGTTTTTTATGCCAAAAAATTAATAAAGTGCTGGTAGATCTTCAAGTCTCCTGGCAGCTCGCAGGTATTCTAGCACGTTTTTGAATATTGCTGACCTAAAACATATTCCTTTGAGAATCGGTTAAGGAATTTACTTTAGTTTCGTATTTAATTGGGAACACATATACATACAAACGTGATCACATTTTTATGCGGTTGCATTAATAAACTGAGGCATGGAATGTCGTAAGGGTGTAGGTACTTAAAGCAGCAAATTAAATATACAAAGTACAAAGATTCTCACGGATTATCGCTGATTGGTGACATGTCAGTGATTCAGAACAGCGCTTCAGGTAGTTGGGACTGCAACCTAGTTTATGACTTCCTCAACAATGATTCGTTTTATGCTGCCGCAATTTATTGGATTCCAAAGGTTGTTGAAACTACACAGTATATTTCAATTGCTTGTCTGTACTCCGTGTAGGTTTAATTTAAGTTTGACTGAAGCCCCTGACCTCACTATTTGTGTTTCAAATGTACTTCTAATCTCTTACATTAGCTGTGCCATTAGTATACGTATCGCTGCGTGTTTATGTGCCTCTTTGTGTCGGCTAGTTTGACATTTTTTATTGTTGGATGTGGCGCTTACTGATCAAGCGATCAGATAGTCCAGTTAAAATTTAAGTAGTCCATAAGCGTTGCCCACATCAATGCCAAAAGGAATCCATAAACTCTATCTTAGCAAATGTATTTTTATACATCGCTGTCGGCAAACATATCTCATATGTGCGTTCTATTTTCGATCAGTTAAGGTTTCGTTTTGGTCTCCATCACTTTCCACATTTGCGGTTCGATTTCATCCTGATTTTATGATTATTATGCCCCTTGCTTTCGCTGCATTTCGATTTCTTATTTTTTGCATTGGACAGACCAGCACCTAAACATATTCTTGTATATATGTATGCGAATGCATTGCCATGTATGTCCGATTTCCGCTTTAAATGCGGTATTTAAAGCGAGCACCAAGAATTTTTCTGATTTGTGCAGCTTACTGATGCGCACAGTGTGTATATTAAAAAACCATACCACGGATATCAAGCTCGGCAAACAAATTAATAAATAAATCTGAAAACTGATTTCTATGCCAAATTGTGTCGCCCTCAATTAACATAGAATTGGCTCGAACAGCATAAAAGTTCCTAACATCGAATTAAGAAAACTGGTCAATAAATTTAATTTAAAGTACTTTTAATGAAAAATTGCCTGCTTTTAATAAATGAAGATAAGAGAACCAAACGCAGAAACCAATACGAATCCAGGGTATCGAGGAAATTGTAAGATGGTTACAACTTATTGTTTCTCATAAATATAATGTTTTTCTTGAAATTTCACAATCTTTTTCCAATTATTACACAGAAAAGCCCGGGTTTGCTCCACTGCGTCTGCAGTGTTTCTGCTCTCTATCTTCATCCGATTTGATTGTCTTTTTATTGCTTCTTCCTTTTTTGGTAAATTTTCGTTGTATTTTTTGTTGCTATTGTAGCTTGTTTTGTTTTTGTTGCTCCATGACTTTTTAGTGTTAATTTATCCACCAGTCGATCGAAAATTGTCTTACCGCCCGCTGAGCAGCGTTTACTTCTTTATCGTTTCGATTATTAAACAAAAAAAAAGAAAAACAACAAAAA